CGGGGGAGGGGGAGGGGGAGGGGTCGATCCAGAAGGCGACGTCCTTGTAACAGGCCGGGTACTTGCTGAAGGGTTCGAAGCGCGTGATGTGTCCCATGCGGAACTGGTTCAGGAAGCGCGGGTCCTCGGACCAGAAGAGGCGGATGTCCGGGATGCCGAAGAGGATCATGGCCAGTCTCTCGATGCCGATGCCCCATGCCCAGCCGATGCGGTCGCCGACGCCGGCGTCGTGTAGGATTCCCTGCTGGACGACGCCGCAGCCGAGGAGTTCGAGCCATTCCCCCTGCCAGTGGACTTCGAGTTCGTAGGAGGGCGAGGTGAAGGGGAAGGAGGCTTCTACCCATCTCACCTTGAGCGGTTGGTGGGCGACGTTGGCGTCGAGGTCGCCCGAGGCGATGCCGGCTTCGAGCGATCGTTTGAGGTGGCTTGCCACGAGGCGCACTTCTTGATGTTGGTGTACGGGTTGTCTGGGGTTTCGCACCTCATCGAAATGCGGGTTGGGGTCGTCGACGTCGATGGGGGGACGTTGTGCTAGCTCTCTTAAGCTCTGCTTGATAATCTCCATTCGGCGCAGAATGCCTTGGTAATATGAAATAGGAATGCCTTGTGAATCGGTTTTCGAATGGCGCCAGAGTCGGGCGCCTTCCATCTGGTGGAATACGGGGAAATGGCTTCGGTCGATGCTATCGCGGCGGAAGACGTCTGCGCAGATGGTGTAGCCGTATGACGATTCAGGCTTCTGCATCGCCTGGAATGCAGCACGCTGGTATGCAGAGGTGTGAGTACGGAGGACGCGATCCTTATTGACATAGTAGGTATCTGTCGTGCTTCGACCAGGATGGTCTGCCGGAAAACCGAGGGCATCGAAATTGGCGGCAGTGCTGACCACGGGGTTGGAGGCGGTGTAATGTTGGAAGGTTGGTTGAGTAAAGACGGATTCGATTAATTTCCTGGTGATGGCAATGGGATGGTCCAGCTGAGCATATAGACGGCGGTCCAGGAGCTTGAGTATGCTTGGTGAGAGGTTGGAAGTCGAGTCTGTTTGGTATGAACACTCGGCGATGACGACTGCTGAGCCCACCTCTCCACTGAAGATGTGATTCCGGGCTGGTCTCTGGTGTGAAGGAGCATTGAAAGGGTCATCTTCGGTAGAGATTCCCTCAGTTCCATCGGGGCTGATATCTATAGTTCGAAACAACCACGAATTGTACCCCTGTCGAGTCCATCTTCAGAAGCAATGGCAGCTGTGCTGTTCCATCGCAGAGGTGTGACAGGAGAGAAGGACTTGCGCGATGCGCGGACTGCTCGGCCAGTGAAGAGAAGCCTCATTGGGGACAGGGAGACGGGGAGACAGCTTCTTGCAGGCCACCGTTGGCTTGTTGGTGAATGAATGAATTAACGAACGAACCCGTCGCTGAGCTTGATGTACTTGTCCTGCTACAGAGAAAGAGAATGTCAGTCGGAGATTGCGGAGATAGAAGCCAGGGCGAATGTGAGCTGCAGAAATCTTTTTCATCAGCTGTGATGGCAAAGACGGTGAAGTAATCAGCAATGGCTGCATAGATCAATTGCCCGTAGTTTTAGTCCATCGTCCATCCTTTACTGTGACTCTCCTCTCGTCACTCTTTGTTCACTGTTGTTGTTTCTCTGGTCTCTCGTTTGGTCTCATCCATGGAGCGATGTCGAATGTTTCCATTAGTCCCCAACGCATTCAGCACAACCCATTCCGGAGGAAGCAGAAGCAGAAATGGCACTACCCCTTCTGGTTCGGAGGCAGCGCAGCTTCCATGGCTGCAGTCGTGACACATCCACTCGACCTTGGTATGCACCTCGACCTGAAAGATATTCCATACTTTCGCTGACTTCCTCTTCCTCTCCCCCAGTCAAGGTCCGCTTACAAACGCGTTCTCCCTCCGATCCCAGAACCATGCTTAGCACTTTCGTCCACGTCTTTCGGAAGCAGGGCTTCTTTGGTCTTTACAACGGTCTTTCTGCCGCTCTTCTTCGCCAACTCACCTACTCCACCGTCCGCTTTGGCGTCTACGAAGATCTAAAAGCACGCTTTCGTGCTGCTCCATCACCCCCGAATCCCCGAGGCCAGGCCCCGCTTCCGCAGCTCCTCCTGATGTCGGGGACCGCCGGCTTCCTCGGTGGCATTGCTGGGAACCCCGGAGATGTTTTGAACGTGCGTATGCAATCTGACTTCGCAAAGCCGCCCGAGAAGAGGTGGTACTACAAAAATGCATTGGATGGCCTAATACGTATGATCCGAGAGGAAGGGCCGGCATCTATCACCCGCGGCATCTGGCCCAACAGTGCTCGAGCTCTTCTCATGACCTCTTCTCAACTTGCTTCCTACGACACGTTCAAGCAGACCATGACTCAGCGCTTCGCTATGCCGGATAACGTCGGTACCCACTTCATCTCCTCGCTCGCTGCTGGGTTCGTGGCAACCACGATATGCTCACCCGTTGATGTGGTCAAGACACGCATCATGTCAGCCGGTGGGAAGATCGGGATCTTGTCGCTATTGAAGGAGACAACCAGGCGGGAAGGTTTGATATGGATGTTCAGGGGTTGGGTGCCAAGCTTTGTCAGGTTGGGGCCACAGACGATTGCGACCATGATTTTCTTCGAACAGCACAAAAAGGTCTATCGGAAGTTGAAGGGAGATCCAAGCGATGCGTGAATATTCGGGGGCTATCTATCAGCTACGGAGTTCAGATCAATTACAGCAAGGCGTTGTTGGCGAATGGGCATATACTAGAGTTAGGAAAAAAGACAAGAATTTGGATCAAGACCATGGAATACTCAGACTATCATTAGACGCTTACCTACCTACCTACTACTATCATATCACTCTAACCAGCAGACTCCAATTCGACACGCCATAGATTGATAAAGTGGGGAAATAGAATAGGGAATGGAGAAACCCAATACCAAAAAACACTGGTATATGAGGCAGCCTGGAGAGAGAGGAGGGGCCCTAAGCATTTCTATAGGTGTTTTCCATATTTTCCTCTTGCTTTAGGCGGGTGGGAAGGGGGTTGGAAGGAGGATTCAGTGGGTGTATTGGGGTTTATCATTTGTCTGGTTTCTACCAGCACACCACACCACATCACCCCACATCCCTTCCCTTCCCGTCCCTATAGAGATGGAGCGCAAGCGATGCCAACTTCGTGCTGCTGGGCAGAGAGGGAAGTTAGATGCTAGTATACAGTATACAGGACGGAAGAAGGAGCAACATGCATGGTCTCTCTGCCTCCTTTTTACCATGGCTTCTCGCAGCGCTTCTCCAGCAAACCCAAATCCAAATCCAAATCCAATAGACTTCTCAAAAAATGTTCATACAGTCAAAGATTAAAGATGCGATGCTATGATAATTCCTCACCCCTTTCTTACAACGACCCCCTCCCACCCCATCCACACACAGCTCCTTTCCTTCACGAATTCTTCACCACCCCGACCTTGGCCGCGCGCAACACCCTCCCATTCAACGTGAACCCTTTACTCTGCGTGTGAAAGACATCACCATCCTCCTTCCCCTCCACCTTGGTCATAAACGTCGCCTCATCCAGGCGGGGATCGAACCGCCTCCCCTCCTCGGCCGGATCGAAGCGTTCCAGGCCGTGCTTCTTCAGCGTCGACATCAGGATCGACTCGGTCATCTTGAGCCCGGCGTGCAGGTTGATCAGGTCTTTATTGGCCGCGTCGGCCGACTCGTCTTCGGCGGGTGTCAGGGAGTCCTGGGGGACGGCCTCGAGGGCGCGGTCGAGGTTGTCGATCGACTCGACGAGGTCGACGGCGAATCTTTGGATGGCGAATTGGCGCGCCGATTCGACGTCGCGTTTGGTTCGCTCCTGCAGGTTGCGGAAGTCGGCGACGGAGCGGAGGTATTTGTCCTGGGAATTAAGGTGTCAGCATTTCTTCGCGCATCAAACGAGATGCCCCCGAGCCAGAGGGATAGGTGGTCCACCTTCAAGTCGATGATCTCGCGACTCTTCGCCTCAAGCTCTTTTTTCAGCGCATCCTCCTTTTCCGCCTCAGCAGCCGGGGCAGCCTGGGCAGCCTGAGCATCCTCGGGTGGCACAGTGTAATCTTCTGGCTTCCTCTCCGTTTCTGTAGACTGCCATCGCTGGAAAAGTGGTGGCGATACTGTTTTGAAGCTTGATGGCTGGAGAGGTCTTTTGCATAGTTCTAGCCTTGAAGTCGAACACGGTGTGCATAATGACCTGGAGAACGCAGGGGCTGTAAGTGTGCGACTTTGTCTTAGTATTGACCGTCGAATCATGATTCCGTAATAAGAGGGTGGAGGTGTGAATGGTGAGGGCAAACTGTACTTCCAGATGATGGATATGTACTTACATCTTGCATCTTGTCTCCAAAATTTCCCGCGATCTTCAAGTTCGCCGGCGTCATCCATCTTGGCGCGAGCTAGTCCGGACTTGGCCGATGTGCCGAGTCGCTGACTCAGCGTTCAATATTGGTTGACAGCCGGTGAACAGTGAACACATTGGATGAGTACAATCCAGAAAGGCTGAAGTACTGTAGCACCTAATGATGAAATCCCCTAAGGCAAATACAAGACTAGGATAATCTTGACTAACTAAGCCAGATAGAATGGAGGCTCTTTCCAAGTAGTGCTAAGACCTGCACACATTGTCTATACTGCACCAGATGTTTTTGATCCCTCGTCCAACAGCGCCGAAGTGCAATCTGTATCCAGACACAAGCTCACATCTCAGCTGATCTCTTCCACAAGCCTACCATTGCGCGGTGGTGGCGGTGGACCGAAAACCCTCCCAACCTGCTTCCCGCGCCACTCTTCCGGCACCCCAATCCTCGAACCGTCCTTGTTGTTGACCCAGCGTACGAATAAAGGGTTGGCTCGCTCCACCTCGAATTCTTCGTCTTCTGCAGGAGTGGCACCCTCCGCTGCGGTAGCTGCCTCAAGCGTCTCTGGGTTCATGGCTTTTCCTCGTCGCTTGGGCACCTGTCGTTTGAGAAGCCTGTTGATAGTCGACATCTAGCACATCATCAATACACAACCATGCCATAGAGGACTGAGCTGACATACCTTCTCCTCTTCGTTCCTCTTCTCGCTCAGATTCTTCCGCCGTCTCGCCATCTCTGCCCTTCTCATGCGATGCTCGTCAGCTGTCAGGATCTTCTTGATCTGAGGCTCCATAGGCAATGCCAAGAAAGCTCCTTCATCTTGTCCACGTTGGCGCTTCGTTTGCGGTTTGGGTGTGCCCAAGCCTGACCCGGTGGTCTCATCACCGCTGTCAATCTCGCCCTCGGCATCAATATCTTCGTCTCCTTCAGCGTCTTCCTCTCCACCGAGTTCATCCTCGTCACCCTCGGCATCCATATTGGTGTCTTCAAGCCCGTCTTCTCCATTCGATTCAAGCTCGGACAATTCTTCATCCTCTTCATTGGCCATCTCCATCTCCTTTTCCTCTACAGACTTGAAGGTACCGGTCGCCGCTGGGGTCACAATCACAGCAGGGTTAGTGATTTGCTTGTTGTTTGGTCTGGGTATTTGCTGGTTCGTAGATCTGGGTACAGGACGAGAGGGTGCTTGCTTGGGAGGAGGAAATGAAGGTGCTGCTTCCATTTCGTCGTCGTCGTCTTCTTCTTCTTCTTCTTCTGATTCTTCCTCGGTTGTACTGACTTGGTCCTGGGGACTCCCCTGGTCCTGATCCAGATCTGCCATCTCGCTATCTGACTCTTCAGAATCATCATCCCAGCCATCAGGATCGTCACTCTCGTTATATCGCTTGCGCTTCGTGGTGTCTTGCGCACGTGTGCTCCGCTTCCCCGTCATGATCTCCCCTCCTTCAAAGGTGTCACGAGAATTGACTGCCACACGCCCGACACTGGATTGGCTTGTCACCTCCCTCAGCTTGCTTGACGGCATCTTGACCGTCAACTTGATGCTCCTACGCCGTTCTTCCGGCGAGTTTGAGGGAGAACGAGATACTGTGATTGATGGTTGAGCGACATTGACAACAGCAGGTGTTGCTGCTGTCCGACGAGGTCTCGACATGGTGTTTGTGGAAGAAGGCACGACCCTACCGGAACTTTAGCAAACTCCCATGAAGCGTCTGTATTCAAGCTTAGGTGCAATGGAGATGTGATTACTGGACACCGTGGCTGAATAAGCATAGTCAGGGATTGTAGGAGTTGCAACTATGTTATGCCTAAGGAACCCAACTCGGTATTATGGATGCTCTCTTCATATAGTTTTATCCAGCGGTAGAAAATTGTCTCTTCTCAAGTGCCTCTCAGGCATAAACATTCCATCTCACATCGTGGTCTGAACTGATGCCAGAGGGGAGCGGATGCTGTCTGAACAAAGATGCATGACTTACTCAGTTCTGCCCCCTGTGAGAACGTGGCTTTGCCGTACAGAGCCCAAATACTTTTTGCTGCGAGCCTCCTCCACGGTACTATCTGAAGAATCCTCGGAAATCTGTCGTCGCGCCCTCTTATTGGGACGATCGGCCATCAACGCCTGATCGGTGTAAAGCAATGAGCTGGAGTTGTGACGGTGGCCTGAGGTTTGGTTTTGCAGTAATCAAGTCGATGATATTTATAACTAGTAGGGACCAAGTTACAACAGGTGTAAGAGGACACAATTAATTTAATGGTTCACAGTCGTTGTTTCAGTCGATGCTTAGTAAGGGATATAGCTACTACTGGTGCTACTACTTAACTAAATAGTTAGTGTATTGGGCCTTCAGCCCTATGGAATGCTTGGAGCCGAGGCACAAAGACCAGACCATAAGTATAGTAAGTTAGTACTCCGTACCCAGCAGCCATTGCATCAAATCATTCACCATTGTCACGGGCAAGAGAGCCTGCGACACCTTGAGCACAGAATGACGGACGGATCAGACTCCAAACCGCCTTCGATACCTGCCTGGCAGACGACTATTTCGCATAATACAACCGACACCTCTTCGGACACTTCAAAAGATGCTGCACAAGCTGTCCCAGCCCAAGATCGCCGTGCTGTCCTCGACCAAGCCCGGATATTTCTGGATGACGCATCTGTGCGAGATAGCCCGCGAGAGAAGAAGGTTGCTTTCCTGGCGAAGAAGGGTCTGCAGAACGACGAGATACAAAGGCTGCTGGACACTTCGTCTTCAGAGACAGCTTCCTCCTCAGCATCCTCCTCAGAATCCTCCTCACCAGCTTCGCACGTCTCTGCCGCTACCACTCCTCCCTCCAGCTCCTCACAAACTCAACCAGCCTCCCAACCCAACCGCGAAGTCCCCCCCATAATCACCTACCCGGAATTCCTCCTTCGGCCCAGCAAACCCCCACCCCTCATAACCCTCGACCGCCTAACATACTCGCTCTACACCCTCGCCGGCATATCTGCCTTCACCTACGGCGCCAGCAAATACCTCGTGCAACCCATGCTCCAATCTCTCAGCTCATCGCGCCACGAGCTAGCCAGCACGGCGCTCCACAACCTGGAGAAACTAAACGAAAAGCTCGAAGGCAGCGTCAGCCACATCCCAGCTATATCACAGAGCGCAATCCCAAAACAGCGCTTCTTCCACGACAACGACAACAACGACGAAAGCGCCTCAGACATCGAAACAGCAGACTCAGACCTCACCGAACTCTTCCACAGGGACATGGCAACGCAGACCTCGCCTCGCCTCCTCCTCCACTCTCCCTCCCTTTCCAACACATCATCCACCACCTCATCCTCCGCACACGAGAAACAAAACGAAAATGCAGAAACAGCAACAGCAACAACAACCCAACACACCCGCCTCCTCACCCTCAAAGACTCACTAACCTCGCTCCTGGCAACCGAATCCCCCTCCGAACCCACCACCAGCACCAGCACCAGCAGCAGCACCACTAACCTCCTCTCCACCCTCTCCTCCACGCAATCCTACCTCGACCGGCTCCAATTCAGCCTGAACGCGTACAACGACTACCACCACCTCTTCTCGGCCGGCGGCTCCACTCTCCCCGCGACGACAGGTAACAACAGGAGGGACGAAGGGAAGAAAGGCCCCAGCGACGACGAGGCGGTCAGGTTCCGACAGGAGATCCTGAGCGTCAAGGGCGCGCTGTTGGGCGTGCGCAGTTTCCCGCTGGGCAGTAGGGTGACTGCGGCTACTGGTGCGGGAGGGGTGGGGGTGAGGTAGTTGCATTTGCATAGATGGATGGATAGATAGATAGCAACTTCGGAACTTGTGGCTTGGGGGATGTGAGGGGAGGGGAGGGGAGGAAGTTGAATGTGGATGTCCAGTCTCTGGCTCTGTGGCTTCATGCGATGGATGGATGGATGATAGATACGTCCAAGATGTGTGACGTGCAAGTCTACGTGAGTGAGGCAAGGCGCTGTCCTGCAACTGAACTCGGACACCGACTCGGTTACACGATCTTCTTTCTGGCAGCCTTTCCGTCTTCTCCTTGACGTATCATTTCAACTTGTATCAGCATCACATCCACACAGCCCCACCAACTAAGTACATGCACAATCACCGACCCACCCATTCGATCCCTTCAGCCCCACCTTCTCGAACCCCAGAACCCACCCCAACCCAACCCAACGCAGTCACGCCTAAGGCGTAGCCCTACTCATAGCAATCAACCGCTTCACGCCCGCCATCCACTGCCCGCATTCCTCCATCTTATCGCGGTGGATATCCGTCTGCAACGTCTGGGCGCGCTCGTAGTCTCTTGCCTGCAGCGCCTGCGCCAGCTCCACCAGCTGAGGGATCGTGTCCTGCTTGATCAGATCGCCCTTGGCCAGATGGTCGTAGAGCATGCCGAGGCGCCTGTCGAGGTCGATGACGTGCTTTTTGAAGGCGGGTGGCGCAAGGGGGGCGACCCGCGAGAATTCAGCTTTGAGGATGGTGTAGATGGGCAGGGCGGGGGGAGGGATGAGTTTTTCGTAGTCGGGAGCTTATATAAATAGTTAGTTGATGCCCTTGTGGGGAACAATAGGACAGGGCTTACGGGACTTGGATTGAGATTTGGACGACCTGGTTTCAGATTGCGCAGTGTCAGGGCGAGACGTCTGCTGAGGTGGACCTTGGGCTGGTGGCGCTTGAGCTGGTGGCGGAGATGCTTGAGGTGGCGCTTGAGGTGGCGCTGAGGGCATTCTGGCATAGGGACTCTGTGCCGGAGCCTGCTGTGGCGGTTGCGAGGGGGCATACGGGTTTGCAGGTAGCGGTCCGGACTGGTACGCAGAAGCTTGCGGCGGTGGAGGAATAGAAGACCGTGGTAACGGTTGAGGAGGTCCAGGTTGTTGTGAGCCAGGAGCTGGAGCATATCTGTTTGGTGGTGGAGCATTGGACGGCGGGGCATTGTAAGGTGACGGGCCTCGTGGAATGGGCGGCTGCATCATATGCTGTCCGATTGGTGGCGATGAGACCGATTGTGGGGGCGGTGGAGCATAAGCGTTCGATGCAGACGATGCAGGCCGATTAGGAGGTGGATATGACTGAGGCGGGCCGGTAGTTTTCGGAGACATGGTGCGCGGAGGAGGCGCACCTCCTCTGGGTGGAGGAGGAACCGGAGGCGGTGCTCTCTTCCCAGCGCCATATGGAGGAGCCATGGGTGGTGGCAAAGGACCTTGTGGTGGGCTTGCTGGTTGCTGAACATTAAAAGGTTGAGCTACTGGTGGGGCGGCGACGGTCGGTGTACCGCGACGCGGAGTTGGGGCCTTTGCGAAATTGTCTGGAATGTCGTTCCAGTTCGACATATTCGAAACTTTGGATGGAGGTGGTATAGCAGGGGATTGGTTGGAAGCTCGCGGCGGAGGAGGCACTGAGCTAGGCTGGAAGCTGCCATATGGAGGGGGAGCAGGCATGCCTGGGCCTCGCATCTGTTGAGGTTGCTGATAACCTCCGGTAGGAGCATATGGGTTCTGCGCGTGAGATGCTTGCTGAGGAGCATAGGGATTTCCCGATGGAGCAGCTGCAGGGGAAGCATACGTATTCGATGGTTGGGCAGGCGCTGGAGCTCCATAGGACGGAGCCGGAGGGGTAGGCATAAACGTTGACTGTTGAGGTTGGTAGCCTCCGGCAGCGGGTAGAGGCTTCTGCCGCCCAGTGGTTGGCTGTGAGCTTGACGTGACAACAGGAGCAGACTTCTTGGTGGCTTGTTTGATTCGACTTCGAGCAACCTCTGCTTCCGGATAACCAGCTGGGACCAGATCAAGGTATCTTTCCGCTGCGGCAAGTTGACCGTGCGAAGCAACAATATCAGCATACTCCAGATATTTGCTGTAGAGTTGGTCAAGCTTCCATTCCGACGTCTTCGATAGTTCGGTATCCTGAAAATTGGTGACCTTTCGGAAGACGGTGACTTTTTCGATAAAGCCTTGCAAGCCCCTGGCATGAATTGAGAAGGCCGAGCCGTCGGTCTCTTGGGCTGCACCAGCCGCTTCCTGTTCCTGCAGCTCATCAAGCCAGATGGGGACGACCTTTTCTAGCTTTGAGCCTGCCAGGAAGCAGAAACAAGCATCTCTTTGTGATTGGGACTTTTCCTCGAGACGATCACCTAGCGCGTCACACAAGTCCGGAAACTCCTTCTCGTCCGCAAAAGTACAAAGCGTTGCCATGACCTCTTTCCAGTTCTTGAGATCAGCATTGTGGACAACATCCCATAAGTTCTTGCCAACCACCGAAGCTAAGAGACGCAGATAGTTTGGACCATCAGACTGCTTTGAGAAGTAGGCATCTTGAGCTTTCCGAATTGAAGACTCTCCGCCACAGATAGCGAGCATAAAAGCATCCGCCATTCGGTCTTCTTGTAGGCAAACATCCAAAGCCTTGTCGAATTGTCCCAGTAGAAGTGCTCGTGTAATTCGACGGTCGGACTCTGACTCGGAGCCTGAGTATATCTGGAATGGATTGTTGGTTTTCGTGCCTTTGGTAGCAGCAAGTTCAGAGAGGAAGTCTCCGTCAGGTGTGCTCTCAAACATGGATGAAAACCGTTTGTGCCCTTTGCTCTCAGCGCCATTGACTTTTGGTTCTGAGGACTTGTCCTGGTCATCTCCTATTCCAAGTTTGGCGATGCCATCTGCAGCCTCATCTGTTTCATTGAAACCAAGATAGTCGACCAGCTCTTTTCTTGGATTTTGTGCAACCAAGGTCTGAATGACCTTCCAATCTCCTTTGTCCTCCTCATTTTTGGCATTTGCTATCCTACTTTCACAGACACTACGTAAATCACCGGATTGTAGAGCTTGCTCGAAAACATCAGTAGACGCTCCGACATCCGAATCAACCTCGAATTTGACGATCTCGACTTTCGAGGCTCGCGATGTCCCTGGCTGTGATGGTCGCACAGCCACGATCCGGCCGCCAAATCCGAACGACACACTGACAGGTCGTTCCATCCATTTTGGCGCTTTAGCCAACGAAAAAGAAGCGGTCTGAGGCTGCGATTGTGCTTTTGAGAAGAAGTCTTCCCCATCAAGACTTTGACCTTGGTTGCTCTCCTGGGCTGCTCCCGGGTTTGTACTCTGTAGGGTCTGCACCGACACCTTGCCGTCGAAAGAGGCGGTTGCAAAGAGATTAGGATTGTGAGGATTCCATCTTGTTTGGAACGTCCAATTCGTGACCACTGGGAAATCCCCAAGAGCTTCGCCAGTTTGAGGATTCCAACAGATGGTACGATTGTCTTTTCCGCAGGACAACAACAGATCGCTGTCTTGCGTGCACCATGATAGGGACAGAATGCCAGATTCATGCCCTCGTAATGTTCGCTCTGGGGCGTTCGCGTTCCGTAAATCCCAGACCAGGATGAGAGGCTCTTGTTCAAGCGGTATAGCCGTTATCAGCCTGGTAGGCTTCTCCGGATCCCAAGCAACAGCACTGACAGCCCTCCTTCCCATATTGTTCAGTGTTAAGCTCTCTTTTTTGGTCTTCATATCCCAAACTGTAACGAAGCCACCACTACTACCTGAGACCATGATGTGAGCGACCTTCTTATTCCAGTCTAGACAATCGATATCATCGGCCCTGGCTGCGGTACTGCCCAACCTTGTCGGGGCCGACACGTCATTGAGGTCCGTAATATAGAGCTCTCCCTTGGTCCCGCCCGTTGCAACCAGATTGGAGTGCTTGGGATTGAACTGGAGAGCTTTAATGGCGCCACCGTGCTTCTTTGTACTTGATACGAGGCTTGACTCATCCCCTGCTAGAAGCTTATCTGCATCCCATAAGCTCAGAGAACCATCGTCCAATGCGCCCGCGATTATGCCCCTCCTCGAGTTCGTCCCGAAATTCGTCCACGCAAGATCATGAAAGCTGCACAACAACTTCAGTCATCTTGAAAAACCTGATAGCTGGACGAGCAGCTTACCCAGCTTCTGTCGCAGCCTTGCCAGAAGGTTTCAACTCGCTCGATTGTCCCTTGCCGTCTAATCCCAAATCCCACAATTCCAGGCACGTCTCGTTACTGAAATCGATATCAACAGCCCCAGCTTTTGTACCAGTAGCCACCAAAGGCGATGCAGCTCCTGGCGACCAAGCGAACGCAGCGGTCCGGGGTATCTCCCGTAAACGCACCATGATATGTGTAGGAAATAACAAATTATGAAAACAGGTATTGGTGGCTCTCGCTGGGCATCGAGGGATGTAGAGCCTGAGGGCTATGTGAAGAACTGTGGACGACAGTTGACAAGGAGGCAAAATCAAATATGGTCACCAGAGATGAGTGGACTCAATCTCAATGGAAACTTGACTTCCAAACGTGGCCTCAGTTAGCCCCCTCGCTTCACCTGCCTCAAGAGCTTCGTTTTACTACGTAACTCCTGGCACGTGATTCCTTCACCCTGATCTCATCGCTCCACCGTCAGCATACATAGGTAATGACTCCGATACGTGTATGAGGACCACATTGAGATAAATTTGAGGCTACAGTGCTGAATAAACGGGCATTGATCATATATAGAGAGGTTTAGGAACCGTTTCAAGCACTTTGATTCATTGGTTCGAAATTTCCAGGTCTACCAGTTGAACGACCTGCCCACAAGACAGTATAACTGACGTAGATACCCTCTGTTCACACACCACTTCAGATACACCTCAGTCTTTGTCCTATGCTGTCAGAATATTTGTGGCCTCGATTTTTCTGAATATATCCGTTTACAGTCTGTGTCACGCGTGAACCAGTGAGACACCATTGGAAAAAGGTTCTCATGTGAGGATCTTGGAGAGAAATGTTGGGAATGGCTGCTTCAGGGTCATCAAATGGAAGCACATCTGTCAGTCACGCCATCACAAATGCTAGTTGGCAGTTCGTTAACTATAGCAAGTGGTTGACTGTTGACCAGCATGATGCCTTGTCCAAAATCGTTTAGCATGTCAAGCGTTTCAAAGAATCCCTTCTTACCATATCAGGTCATCTTGAGGAAACACGTATTGCTAGATCTGTCTGACGATCAAGTCTGCTTTTTCTTGTCGGTAACTGAGTGATTAGTCCTGAGTTTCCACAGGTTGAATACTCTGTACATGTAAAGGTCCTTTTATACTCGTCAGCATGCTCCCCCTGCAACAACACTGGAAGTACAGGCATCGCCCTTTTGACCGGCTTCTTACCATAACACGACGCGGAAGAAATGTGTACGCGAACCATGCCAACCAAGATTTGTTCCCCTGCCAAATATACTTCTTTGGTTGCTTCCTCAGCAGGTGGTTGACGACTGATTTCGCGTATTCAGTAGTCGCCATTGCCCCTTCCTGGCTGTACTTGAGCCTTCGCTCAAACTCAGCTTCGACAGGCAGATAAAGGGAATCTTGGCTCAGACGCCTGTCGGATCTCGAGATGTTACTCTTGACTCCGCCCGTGATGACTGTGATCACACGGACGCCGAAGGGTTCAAGCTCCTGCATCACCACCAAATCGTAAGACAGCTGAGCCAGCATCTTCCGAATCCGCTACGAATTGACTTACCACCCTTAGGGTATCGCTGTAAGCGTGCACTGCCGCTTTCGAAGCGTTATAAGAACTCCCAAACACGTAAGGCGTGACTGCTGCTAAGCTCCCAATCATGACGATAATGCCCTTTGCTTGTACGACCATTGGTCCAAACGTCTGACACATCCTCATAACCCCAAAGACATTCACGTCGAACGTTTTCTGCACTTCATCCATATCTAGCTCCAGTGCGGGCATGATGTTATTCTTTCCTGCATTGTTGACCAGAATATCGAGCCCGCGACCATTGGTGAGAGAACGAATATGGGACTGCAATGATGTAATGGTTTGGGGATCATGAAGTTCAAGGGCCAGTGTCTCGATACCTAGGGTAGCCAGAGAGGAGATTGTGGAGGGCGAACGGGCGGTAGCAAAGACACGATAACCATGTGAGTGAAACTCGAGCGCAAGGGAATACCCAATTCCACCCGGTGTACAGCCCGTTATCAGGACGGATTTTCTCCCATCATGGCTTGGGGCTGGAGTGGTCATTTTTGGAGTCCCGGAGGTTGAACAAGCTGTCGAACATGTGGGGATGTTGCGCACGACGGCGGACCGTTGAAGCCAAACGGCCAATTGTTCGGGAGCCATCCCCCTGGCGCCGAGCAGGATCATTGCGAACTAGACCATGCCTGAGCATTTCTTTGTCCGGGAGAGTGTACAAATACCAATGTTATCGTACAGTACTACACCAAAAGTATTGGGACACCCCGCATTTTTACCCCATCAACATTTTCCACTCTTCCCATACAAATTACTACTGTACGCCCGGTATTTATTGAAATCCTATAAGAATCAATTAAATGGTGCGCCAAAATCTGCTCTTTCGAATAGTACTAATTTCCTAAATAGGCAGCTAGATATCAGAAGCGGGTATACCATCCTTTGGCCCTAATCACTGCATTTATACAGGTATCCATGCTCTTAATTAAGGCATCAATAGCTTCTTGCCTAATAGCGTCCCAACCCTCATGAATAGCGGTAAACAGACGTTGATAATCAGCCTCAGATTTGCCTATTTGGATTAAGTCTGAGTAGTGGTCGTTAATCCATTGCTTAAGTTGCGCCCAGAGGTGTTCAATTGGGTTCAGATCCGGACTATAGGGGGGCCAATCAAGCAGAGATATACCCTCCTCCTCAAACCAGGCTATAACCTTTTTTGCAGTATGAATTCGGGCGTTATCTTGCATGAAAATCCGGCCAGGTTTGTACGTTCGAGGGATTTGCTCACAAAGAATAGTGAGATATGAGTTGGCAGTATATCCTGACTTCTCTGAATCAGGATCACGTTCCAAAAGAACGATATCCGAACGCTCATTTCTATAAATAGCACCCCATATCATGACGCTGATATCCTTGCCTTTCTTAAATGATTGAACCATATCCTTATCCCACTTTTGTTGTGGCGTACGAAAGTTCCAAACTCGCCGGGCTCCAGAGCCTCTTTCAAGAGAACATTCATCACTGAATATTATCCTGCGCCAGTCATCCCATGTCCAATCTTTTCGTTCTAAACACCAAGCAAGGCGTTTAGCAACTACTTCAGGAGTCAGAAGAGGTCTTTTTTTAGCAAGCCAATTGGTAATGCCCTCATCTTTGAGTATTCGGTAAAGGGTATTGCGATGAACAGTCACCCCAGCTTCAAGTTGAAGAGCTGCATAGGTAATTCTCGGATTGGCTCGAATAATGCGTAGAATGTTTCGTTTTTGAACGCGATTTAATGCAGGGGGTCTGCCAGAACGTGGCAAGCTTTTGCCTTCGTTGCGGAGTGGATTTCGTACGAGGGTGTTGAAAACAGTAGATCTAGTGCAATCTACTTTTTTGCTAATTTTCCTAATTGATAGGCCTACCTCATGGTAGGCTGTAATTTGACCGCGCTGATATGGAGATAGCTCCTGGCCATAGCTCCTGTTGATTTCTAGAGGCGCCAAAGCCTTGCGTTGATTCATGGTGGTTGATTGAAAAAGGCGATAAAAAACGCGTGTAGAAAAAAAAGCGCGTTTTGTCCCAATACTTTTGGTGGGGTACTGTAACTACATAATCAAAGCAGCTGTTTGTCCCAGAATGGTGGTTATGTGAAGGGAACGATTATGTATAATTTCACCTTCAGATTACACGCTTCCACGTGACGTTCAATCCCTATTTGAGAATTTTATATTTATTCCAACATCCAACAACTTATACCTCGCACATTTCTCCTTCGTCGTTTGTTGTCTCTACACTACCTTCACAATCATGGCGGACACCTCGACGCGCCCTCTATCAACAGTTTACGTCGGCGGCCTCCATCCAACATTCGTTACAGCCTCCACGCTATCAGAAGCATTTATCCCGTTTGGTGAGATTGCGGATATCTCATTACCTAAACCAGAAGCCCCCTCTTCTACAGATCTGCACCGCGGCTTTGGCTACGTGGAATTTGAAGAAGCTGAAGATGCCAAGGAAGCAATCAGTAATATGGATCAGTCAGAGCTATTCGGCAAGGTCATCAAGGTTGCTATGGCGAAGCCAGAGAGGAAGGACGAGGCTGGTGGATTGGGCAGCAAGACAGCTATTTGGGAACAGGTAAAGTGGCATCTGCCCCACCCTCCGAGTCCACAGAGGATGAAGTTCCATATTGATATCCGTGCAGGAAGGATACCTTGCGGAGCATGCTGTGAGCGCGGAAGACCGGCAAGCCATGCAACAGACTCGACTTGGAGCTGGTAGTCGGCCAGATGATCCCATGCAAGGGCTTGAAGGCTTGGACGTAGCAGGGCCACAGCCAGAATAGCTTGGGTTTTCCCTGAAATCTTATGGAACCTTGAGCTTAAGCGAGGAACCTTATGTGTCAAAGGGCGCAATTTGGCGTTCATGGGTGCAATCTGGGAGTTATGTACAGTTTCTGCAAAATCGATACCCCAAGAAACAATGAGCAATTGCCTTCGCAGAAATCATTTTCGCCAGTCCCGTGCGTAATGGAGCTTCCCCTCTTAGCTATGTTGTGCAATCTTTTGGTAGCATCATAACCTTCCGTCAGAAACGTTTTAGTGCTTCTTCTCGGACTTATGCAAGCGGAGAGTCTTGTCTGTGAACAGCTTCTTGCCCATGGCGAACACAGCGGCGGAAAGGGCAAAGCTGGGGAGTCGACCATCAGCCAGAGCAGTATACTTATGAGAAGTACACGCACCCAATGACCACACCTAGCGGAAGGAGCTCTGGCGGAATCTTCTTGAGTGTGCGGAGCCTCTGGGATATCGTGTGGGCTTCGTAAACATTAGTGGCTAGTGGTGCTAGACGATTCGACCTTGCATCTTCTTACCACTGTGTTCATCAACCTGTATACCATCAGCAGCGTGCCAAATGAGCCTCAGCATCCAAATGCCCCGCTTACCTTCTGTCTTGAGAGGCCCCTCGACGCATGGAGTGTGCGGATCTGCGGCCGCGCGCCATAGAAGCGCATAGGCTGGAATCGTACAAGTCGAGCTGTACTCATGATGGGCGAATGTTCTCGTGTAATTATTGAGAATGAGAATCGGGTCAGACTCATATGGTTCTCTTTAACATCCCGCACGATGCTCGGAAGAGTAGAAGGTGACCAGCCCACCAATTGTGGAAGCTCGGCTCTTGGCACGTGCTGGACGTCGTCGAAGCGACGGACACCCTGCTTGAATATCCCCCCATTGCTTCATTCTTTCCACAACAATAAACACAGTCTGCAAAACCAGTCTCAAGCCACATAGTACCATATCGTCAAGATGCCTGATATTGAGATGCCAGACCCCGAGGAGCTCGGTGGTCTTGTCACTAAGCCTTTCAAGTTTGTTACAGGTATCTCCCCTTCCTAACTGCTCAACAGATTGGGATCGATCATGGACTGACGTGCTGCAGCCGGTATATCTTTCTCCTGCTCAACGACTTTGAATCACAAATAACATGTGCCAGGCTACGACGCCCGCTTCCCCAACCAGAACCAGACGAAGCACTGCTGGCAAAACTACGTTGACTACCACAAATGCATTATTGCCAAGGGAGAAGAATTTCGACCATGCCGCCAGGTACGCAGGTCAAGCATATATGCGGATCGTTCGTGCAATAAGGAATCGCTGACGATGCGGCTTTTCAGTTTTATCTAGCCTACCGGTCGCTCTGCCCTAGCGCTTGGATTGCACGTTGGGATGATCAGAGAGGTATGTTTGCGTTTGAGAGAGAAGGAGAGAGAAGAGACTGACACGAAGCTTGCAGAGGCCGGAAACTTTCCAGTGGACCTCGAGCATTGATAAATTCTGGCAGACTATGGAACGAAGAACTGATAGCCAAGTACAGAGAGCTGGTGTAGGCGTAGAATCCTGCGAGCTGTATATAGCATCTGAATGGTCAAGGATCAAGCTCATCATGACCTTTGGTTCTCTCATTTTAATTCTGATCGTTGATTGCTTCAGCGTGCGCACTTCTTAAGCCAGATCTCCCCTACAAGTTCGGGAATTAACGGTCTTGCTTTTCAGGTTCCTTCTACCCGCTACAGTGGCTCACTGAACTCGCAGTCTACCTCTCGCTCAATATCACGTGGTATATCACCATACCTGACCTGAGCGCCAGTATACTGCTAGCACAAGCCATGTGGCTCTCACGCCCCCCGGCCCTCGTTCAGAGTGTTCTACAACCCAAAATCCAGTGCCCAGCAATCATGATCTCTCACTTTCAAGCAAGTGACACGAACCAACCTGGATCGTGATGCTCGCTGTAGAGTAGGGCATATCGACATAGCTGGTCGAATTGAGGAGAGCAAAGTATCTGTTCGCTACAACAAAGCTCTGATAGGAGTTGATGTCGGGAAATTGTAGCTTTTGCAAGTGGATCTCTACGAGAAAATGTCAGGATAATGAGAATGGCAGTTTGGGGTGGTGTATTCTAAGAAGTCACAAAGAAGTAAGTAGTTGTCGGGGTGAGGAGGATTGAGGTCATCTTGGTACTATGTTAGATGGTGTAATCACGTAATGTAGGTGTAGCTCCTGTTGGGGATCTTATTGAAGAATCTCTGCATTCTTGATACTAAAGATCTCAGTGTGGAATGGTCGGTGAACGTCATTCATAGTGCTGGTTGGCTTAACCGGGTGAAGCGCATTGGCTGAAAATGGAAATCATGCAGGTTCGTGAGTTTAAGGATTTGCACAGGGTTGCACAGACTGTATAACATGGTCTCACTTGTGCTTTGATTTCCCACTCATGTTGCCCACCCTTCCAATGAGTTGAGGCAGCCTGCGGGAGAAGATTGCAACCTTTGACCCTGTAGAAAATAAGCCAGAAGTAGACTCCAAACATAGCAGATCGTGATGATTAGAGCAGAGGTATTATGTGTTAGACGAGCCCTGAGTGCAATGCTCAATCGCCACCCGGCAACTCGAAACGCCCTCCAACTCCGTCTCGAATCTTTTCTCTGGAGTCATCGTTTAGCTCCTCTTAATAGAACTCAATTTCAACGCCTCCAATAATTCTGGTCTAGGATCCAAAGCTTTAACTGCCTCTGCGTAGGAAACCCATTGTCTCTTTCTCTTGCCCATCTCCGGCCACTCTGGTTTCTCCTCCTGCACGATGCATTCGAAGAACTGATAGCTTGCTTTGGGTGCGTTCTGGGTAAGTGCTGAGGTAGGGCGTGTGTCGGCGATGTGACCAAGATCGGCTTCGACTGTGCAGATGACGCCCGCTTCCTCCCAAGCTTCACGGCACGCTGCCTCAGCTGCAGTCTCTTCATCCAATTCCCAGCCGCCTTTTGGTAGAACCCAACCCCCACGACGAGTCGATTGAATGAGAAGAACTCGAGTCTTGTCTGCTGAGAGAGGCACAACACCAGCGACAAGTCGTTCACCTTTAGTGCCAAAGCCTTAATGAACGTTAGATATGTCTGAACCGGGCACAAAAGTAACAAGACATACGTTGGTTGTCTCGGCCAGTTCTTGACTCCATATTCATCTTCCCCGCCATTTTTGGTAGGTGATGTCTCGGCGGTGTTTGTGACTGAGAACAAGTGCAGTATTTGAAGACACAGTCAAAGTCTCATGAGCAGATGAAAATGGGTTGGCTGATAACTCAAAATAGACAGTGAGTCAAGATCTTTGACAGTGAATGGGGTCGCAAGGCAGCGGCGAATTCACTTTAAATTAAAGGCATGTTGGACGGTGTTTGGTGTGCTGAAAAGTCTGACCGCCTTCAGTCCCGCGGAGGACGGGGCGGAGGGAAGGTGTTGAACTTGCAGAGAAGCAGGAAAGGAAGTGCCATGATAGTAGAAGGAAAGATGCGGTCGAAAGAAGTGGTCATGGTGCGGGTACGGCTCTCGGAGTCTCCTGTTAGTTTCTTCTACTGCAGTGGTTGACTGGACTGGTGCTTCTGCGGATAAAAGTTCCATGCCACTTCTAGCCCATTGACTAGATGTCTCTCTGGGGATGTGCTTCCTAATCCCGACACTACACCCTCTTGAGGTTACAACCATGAGCATGCCTGTGATCATCCTACCATGGTTCGTCGAAGCGGTCCACAGCCAGCACAGCACCTAGTGACTTCTACGTGTCACCCATCATTGGAGGAGGCCATCTGTGGCTCAGGCACCCCAGAATGTGCAGCAGTACTTTGTTCACCCAGCAGCTTCAGGCCCTCCCCTAAGCGAATACTCCAATCAGATTGCGCTTTTGGCGCTAATGTCCTCCTGACACGACATGGTTGTGGATAATAACGCTTTGGATTTGTCCTGCTGAACGGTATAACCTAAGTGGCTGACTAGTCTGGTAAGCAAAGCTCAACAACGGTCACCTTGCATACACCGGCAGCAGTAGCGTGGATTGCCTCACTTCTTTGTGGAGGTGGCTCAATATCACAAGAGCAAGTGTGCAGGGGCAGTGCTACCATGAGAGGTTGACAGACCAGGGGTTCATCCGAGCCTCACGTATTGACGTTGACTATTGACCAGACTACCTGGTATGACAGGAGCGTTCTCCAGGGTCTGCAGGCTCTTTACTACGTATTATCCCGGTCAGATTTTCATAGTGCTTTCCGTTGGGGACAGTTAGCAGATACGGAATCTCAAAACGCGCTGCTCGGAGTCTTGATGGCATCCCTTCCAAGCCCGAGCAGTACTTCGGTGATCAGCCCACTTGGTAAGCTTATACAATTAGTTTCTCGGGTCCTACCATGTTTTCCTCAGTATGTCACTAATATCCTCCTTCACGTCAGGCTATCAGAAGAAACTATCATGCGGTTATTGCAAGGAAAGTACCGGAAGTACGTTCTTGTCGAGCTAGTGAAGATCCCATCTCCAACCAAAGCTTCTTGCGGTGGTAACTTTTCATGTCTAATCCAATTTCTCTACAGACTCATCCTACTATGCAACATCCTCGAATATGAAAGTTGAGCATTACCAAGCTCTTGTGGACCGTGGTTGGAGACGATCTGGGCATACATATTACAAACCAGATCTGACTCGGTCATGCTGTCCGCACTACACAATCCGTTTGGACGCCGATAAGTTTAGAGCCAGCAAGTCCCAAAGGCGAGCAATAAACAGATGGAATCGCTATGTGTTGGGGACCGATTACATGAGCAAAGTTTCGAAGCTTTATCCACGGTCGCGGGAGGAAAAGCAGAGACGACGAAAATCGTCATTCGACCTAGAAGCAGCTGTGCACGCATCAGAATATGCCAGTCTTCAGAGGCCCATAGATCCCAGGACGAAGATAAGCATTGAACCTGCTCATAAATTCGAGGTCAACCTTGAATCCGATTCGTTCTCGGGCGAGAAGTGGAACGTCTTTCTGCCTTATCAGATGACCATTCACAAAGAGGCAGAGTCCAGGTGGTCACATGCTTCATTCAAGCGCTTTCTCTGCTCTGGCCTCGACCAGAAGATCATCAAATCAAAAGGCGTTACACGGAAATTAGGCACCTACCATCAATGCTACAGACTTGATGGAAAGCTTATTGCCGTTGGTGTACTGGACTTATTGCCACACGGTGTAAGCTCTGTTTATCTTTTGTGAGAAAAGAAGCCCAGTATGAAGGGAGCAGCAGATGCTGACGCAAGTAGCTACGATCCCGAGTGGGAAGACTGGGAGCTAGGGAAGCTGAGTGCCCTGCGAGAGATTGCTCTGACGCGGGAAGGACACTATCAGTACTATTATATGGGTTAGTGCTCCTGTACTCCACCGTTCTGGGTATTCTCGCTTATCCTTCCAGGATACTACATACCGTCATGCATCAAAATGCGGTACAAGGGCAGCTACTGGCCAACCTACGTTCTTGGTAAGACTTCACTGGATGACTAAGTGTGACTGTGCTCACGGAACGTTTCAGATCCAGAAAGCTTGGACTGGAATCTCCTTGACACAGACCTAAGAACGAACCTCGACAAGCATCATTACTTCTCACTCTCAGGCAACAACAAACGCAACCAGGATGTTCTCGAAGCAAACACCATAACCGAAGCCAGCCCAGCTCCCGTGATTCCGAAAGCAGAACCAGATATCGATTACACCTCACTAGAAATAGACTCCGAAGATGACTCCGTCGACGAAACAGAAATTCCTCCGGGATCTCTCTTTGACTACCACGTCCCCGGCATCCTAAGTCAAGAAGAAGTCGAGAAGCTCAAGCTGGATAAATGGAAGTTTTTGCTGCGGAACGGTTTCGTAGAGATGGAAGATTTGAAAGGATGGGAGCGAGGCAAGCTGACGGATCCGCAGAGCCTGAAGGGTATTGCGGCTGAATTGGCTGCTGCGTTGGGGCCAGAGGTGGTGAAGGGCGGGAGCGCGGTGAATTTGTTCTATGATAGTTGAGCTTTGACTGAGGGAAGGAGGGTCTGTTGGCTTGACGAACCGTTGCAATCACTCGGCTACACACAAATTAATATCAGAGGCAATCGAATTAAAAGTCGTCCTCTGCTTGTTCAACCTTTCGTCTCTCTTTCTCGTAAAAGAGAATGGCTAACTGTCTAATTAAGGGAGAGTTTGTCACCGTCTGCTTGTGCTCTGTTTGCCTCCTTCGAACACGTTCGATTGCTGAGGTGCAACAGAAACACGTCGACTCAATGTTCACGACATTCATTGTTCTGACACACGGGTGACAAAGGAAAGTGTGCATTCACACAATCGTTCATGGTGGTATATATCATGCCTCTTTGTTCCTTGAGCACCTGATTCTTTGTATGCTCTATCTGGATCTAGAATCATTGACCCCTACTTAAGGTTGAGGATTGATTCCGCAGCCCCTTACTTATAAGAACCCACATACCATTCATCAATCTATCCAACCCACATTAGCACAACTAAACTCAATTACTATAAACTCCTACCCGAACTCAACAACCAACACGCAAAGATGCGATTCCTCTTCATCCTCTTACTCGCCATGCCTCTTGCGGGCTTCGCAATGACATTGGATACCTCGAAAGACGCTCCTAGTGCACAAGACGTGTGTACCTCCGCTCACTGCGAACAGGGCAATCCACCATCGGCCATTGAACCTCGCACACCCCAAAAGTCAGGCGCTGAGGATAACGCTCCTTTTGCGGATATAGATGGACCTGTGGAAGCTAAAGGAGGTGCTGGAGGTGCTGGAGGTGGAGGCGGGAGAGGTGGTGGCGGCGGCAGAAAGGGCGGAGGTGGGGTGGTCGTTGTCTCTTCAGGAAACTCCAAAGCAGGCGCCAATCCACTTTCAGTGCTGCGAGGTCCAATCCTCTTACTGAACTCGATTCTACCAACAGCTAGAGCCCAAACTCCGTCTGGCTTTGTTGGTAAGACGGCTTGAGGGTCCAACCTCATGCTTTGCTTGTCATCTTGCTTTTCTGACATGTCCTTAGCGCCAGCTGAAGCTCACATTGATAATGCTGCCGGTCACGATGCAGAGATTGTCGAGCAGAGCCTTCCTAGGTTGCGCAGGGACAGATGTGAAGCAATCCTAGGTTTTTACTGCGGGTGGGCTCCGAAGGCAGATACAGGACCGGTGGGAAGGCTGGTGAAATGGATGCGATCGGCTTAGGGATTGGCGTACCGGTCTTTAGAGAAGGTCTCAGAATTGCCACCATCGAGGTTTCTGCGGCTGGGCATTATCTGGCTGCATATCTGTCGCTTTGGATGAGGATGTTGGATTTTGCTGTGTAGAGTCCATTCCCTTTTGCTCCTCGGACCTGGAGACAGGAACCTCAACTAGATTAGGTCCAAGGTCGGATGCTATCATAGCTCTAGCCATGGTCAATGAAACTGAGTTTAGATCCCAAAGCCATACTACTTACTGCTGCTTGCGTAGTTTCTCGGCCTCTAGATCTTGAAATGCTGGGTTGAAAACAACGTAGCCTAGGAAACCAGTGTTAGCATTGAAAAATGATAACAGGTATTCTTCGATCACTGACCATTCACAATACCGAGTCCGACAGCCAGAGCCACAGGCACCAGCCCACGCCCATTCATCGTCCTTTCTTTGTTAGAAGCCAGCAGTAGCTGCAGAATATGGTTTGGTAATTGACATGAGAGAGTGACTTAGACTGTAACTTCCCCGCATCGCCTTCTCCGCACCAGATCTATGCCAAGACCTCTTGACGCGTTTCCATGAATTTGTACGCGACACAACCTGCTAGAAACTAGAAATACTAGCAGTGTTATTTGGCGCTATCCAGACGGAACTGCAGCATATAACGACATGCGGTGTTCGATCGATGGCCGAGTGGAAAGAGCGGGGTTATGTGCCAGACTCTGATGATGAGGAAGAGGAAGGCCTTGAGCTGCTAAGTCCAAATGCAGAGCAGCAAAGAGTAGGTCTTGGGCTATGCAATAACGAGAAGCTTTCACTGTCTGATGCCGACTCAAAGGATGCTTGCTTCATCAAGAACGACTATTCGATCTTGCTTGCAGGTGCGCAACACGATGACCCGATAAGATCAGAAGTTGATCCCAGAGAGCCTGCACGGCAAGTTGAAGTTGACCAAGATGAGGGTGGCTTAGAAGAAGATAAACAATTGCAGGACAAGGTGCTACCGGAGCATGACTCGGACCTAATTGATCAGAGCCAAATTGAGAGGCCCCAGGAGTCTGTGGCGGAGCAGCTCCAGGACGAGCTGAGATCTGGGTTGGATATAGTCAAGGAAGTCCTGAGCGGCTCATCTACAACTATAGACGGTCACCACTCCAACAACCAAAGTAACCTGTCCTCACCGCTATCTTCCATTGAATCCTTCTCAGCCGGCGATCATTCCGGAACAACCCCCAAAGACAAGGTGACAGATGTACCGCTACCTCTAGACCATCGTTCTTCAGAATACCGTTTCCCAGCATCCGCTGGCAATGATGCACATCGTGTTGATGATTTGGATTATGCGGCACATGTCACAAGAAGGAATCTGAGGCAACGAAATCCGATCCAGCTACATCCATACGCTCTTGAAGGCGCTCGGTACCAACAAGAGCTGCTCGCTCGTGGTTTGAGGCCTGTTTATCTGGATGATCTCCACAGGCGCAGGACGTCAGATGTTTGTGAGAGTCAAGACTGCAAAGATAGGGAGAATGGTGCTAGCCAGAGCACGCAGGAGACAACATCCTCGCAACAGGAAACTCCTGGTCCTTTACAACCTATTCATAACGAGGCAAAAAGAAGACGTCCCAGAAGACCGTCTGCAAATTCCCTTGCGAGTGATGAGGAGCTGCCAGATCTCGATGCTATCCTTGAGGCTAAGCATGGTCGTTTGCCGCCGCCTAGGAAACGATCAACAGCTGTCTACAATGCCCTCAGGAGCAAAAGAACACCCAGTCATGACGACGAACTCCACATCTATGACCCGCCTTTTGACGCTCCGACTTCCACGTTAGGAAAAAGTCCAAGTGGTGCCGTCTTCCACGTTCCGCCTTCTCCACCATGTACTCGGAGCGGCCAATCGAGCCAGTCTACTGAAGTACTTCCAAGATCTTCCAAGCGAAATCATTTAGCAAGACGTAAACGTAGGACTCCTCAAACATTACCGACACCGAATATATCTTCTACTGCTCAGCAGCCGGCAGATCAATCCCTTCAATGCAATTCCGGCTCAGATTCTCCCGAGCCTTGCACGGCTGAGTCTGTGGGCAACAGCTCTCAACATTCACTCGAGCAGGACGATAGCCAAATTTATCGACTTCAGCGGAAAACCAAAGGTGTATTGCCGGCATCATTTTTCCGGCTCCAAGGTCAGCAGGAAAAGACGGGGGAAAACCCAATCAGAAGCTGGTCTTCGTCACCAGACCGAGACATTGATATCCCAGCCGGTGCCCATAGCGTTTCCAGACCTCAAAATCGTCAGAACTCTCCATCCCGAGCTTCACATAATGCTATCGTTGTTTCAGATGATTCATCTCCCCAGGAGGAGCCCCTGATGGGAACGTTCGATGATCCTACGGTCTCTAACTTGTCTAATAGCACATTACCCAGTAGGCGCGTTAGTATGATGCGTCTGATAGATAGCGACATCGAAGAAGACAACGGAATTGACATTATGATGCAGCCAAAGCCTAGAAAGCAAAAAGCCGCAGTCTCGAGGGGCAAACGCCAGCGTCTTGTTAGTGAGTTTGGTCGCGACATGGATAGTCATCCGCGCCATGAGTTATCACAAAGGGAGCCCAAAAGACATAAAGGGCGTAGTTTTGGACTCCAACGGCCAAAGCCAAACAATTCTACTGTAAAAGCACTATCACTCGGTCCGTTGGATGCGCCTGGCTACAAGAGTCTGCCTCGAATGAAGCAGCCACAATTTCTTCGCTTGGCTGCTCGACGTGCCAGATCACGTACGAGAGGCGGACGGCAGAGCCCGAGTCGCAAATACATCCGCATGGCGACCAGCGCTGATACTGAAGAAGCAAACAGTGAACTCAACAATTGGCGAAAAGGCCTACTCGAGCAAAACACCAAAGCCTCCTTAAATGCTAAGCCACGGAAATCTACGCAACAGGACAATTTACCACCAAGGGGTTCACTTGCGCAGCGACTACAACGCTTACCAGTTCTTGAGAGTGGAGAATACATGCATTCACAGGAAAGGGATCCTAACGATCGACGGCAGTCCGAGCAAAGTTTGCCACCCTGGCACCGTACGGAGGACTTGATCCGTGACATCTTGCTTCGCCAGACGGGTCAGTCGATCCAGTCTTCTAATCACTCCAAAACAAATCTGTTCCGGACCTCCGATAATGGTATATCAAGCATATCAGATATTCGGGCCCACATGCATGCACAGCATCAGAATCGTTCAGGGAGAGGCGCCTTACTTACCTCAACAGTAGGCTCCGCGAAACCTCGAGGCGCCCAACTCGAGAGTCTTCGCCATTTTAAATCCCCCGAAAGAGTTCTCAATGCGTTCGGAGGTCACTCGAATTCTTCTCAGTTCGAGAGAATTGCTCGTGTAGAGACAACACAGGACAGATATCCAGCATTACCTACACGTATGGAAGACCAAACAGATAATGATCTCGCCCAGGACGCGTCAAGACAAGCTTTGTTTCGATCTCGTCGAAAGCGAACTCCTAAACAAAGCGACCTCATTTCTCTAAGCCCTGCTTGGGCACTAGAGCTGTCAGGTTCGGCAACCAGCCCTAATGATAACAACGATCTTGACGCGTTGTCTGGGGTAGTGTTGGCTGGTCTTGGTTCGCCAGAATTCCCCATTACCAGAGACTTTGGTGTGGTACCCTTCGCAGAGGGTGTCTGTCTGCACGATGCTAGTTTTGTTGGAGAAGATCATTTATCTGACCTCACAAGGAATCTTGTTCTCAATTGCAGGAATTTGTTTCAAAGTAAAGACAATGAATGCGTGGTTCTCAGACCATCTACAATGGGCTCACCTTATCGCTGGGGTGTGTGGGATGATCAAGTCTCTCAACAATTCTCTGCATGGTTTCTCGAACTGAGAGGATGTCTAGGCTGTCATGCCAGCGACATGGCCAATAATCCTCCGCAAAATACTCTAAGTGCATTCAAGACCCTTACACGCTATTTAAGTCGGCAAGTATCCTTCCAGAATCGTCAGAGCCTGGCTGCGTTTGCAGAAGTTGCTACACGCATGGCAATGGAGCTTGTTGATCAGGTTAGGTCGCAATTGGAATCAAGCCTTTCTGCAGTACCTCCTAACATGCTCCAACTCTCAAGCTTACTGCTCGTTTTCATCGTCGAGATTGCTTGTATCGTGGCATCAGCCTTAATGAACCACAAACTTCAGACAGAGCTATGTAAGACGTTCAAAACCTTGGCTGTGGTAGTGTTGAAAGCCCTCCATCGAGACAATAATCTAGAGAGGCTAACAAATATCACAAGCTCCAGCAGCGAGGAGCCCAAGCTTATCAATAAATCCTCCGAGGTGGATGCGCTGACAGTGATCAACAATTTGAGCAAGCAAGCAGTGCTGCATATCGATATATGGGATCTCGTTACAGAGGCTTTGTCTTCTTTCATTGGTTTTCAGCCAGAGAATTTGGTGACGTTTCGAGACTATGATGGCTGGTGGAAGGGTGTTTTTCTAACTTTGCCGTGGCTGGACTTGGATGCGTCTGGTCAGCTACCCCGAACATTTACCTCGCCTGGCTGGGATCTGATTCAGCGGCTTCTTATCCGGTTCTTACAGCTATTCATGCCTCGACGGCACAAGGCCAGTTACTCTACCAAGCATTATGGTCGGGTTCTTGTCCACCGATGTTTCGACCTGGTTCAGCTATGGGGCTGGGAAGGAGGCCATGCTGTGATTGGAACATTGTTCGATGCCTACAGCAGCAATGACTTCAAAGAAATGTTCGGAGAAACGCCTGAAAACCGCTTCTGCCTTCCTCTCAATCTTGCTCCTGGAGTTAGTGTTCATGTTGGCAAAACTGACTCCGGCTTCCACGCGTTCCTCGGCCTTATAGCACAGACAATCATGATTTCTCGCAAGCCTGATGCTAATCCAAAGCTGGCAAAAAGAGTGTTGCGGTCATTGAGTGCAAGACTGGTACCTAACAAGGGCGAAGACCTACCTAAGAACAAGACTCCCAGCCGCTACAATATTATTGCTTTGAGAAATCGGTTCGACCTTGTGTCTGTCATGCATTGCGTAATGCCGCCGGAGTTGAAACCGAACCTGCGGCTGTTACAATCGTTCGTCGATTTTCCGAATGCTCACCGTGAAGCGTGCAGAATTGCGCTTGAATGTTGGTTACGACTTGTTCAGCACGCACTTTTCAATGAACAATCCGTAGACACAAGAGGCCAGAAAGCTTCAGACACTCATCATCACCCCACACTTTTATTGCTAAGAGAGTGGCATGATTCAATCGTCATGGATCTCTTAGCTTATTACACTTCAGAAAGCCATGAAACAATGGGACTCGATGAACATCGCCATACGGACAATGCTAAGTTGTGCAAAACTCTCTCTTTCTCACGAAAACCAAGCGCAGATATACTCATCGACGCACTGAAGACATGGCAACAAAGCTTTGAATTTTGTCAGACTACAAGCCAGGCAACAGCACTGTTGGGCCGAAGTACGCTTCGGGTGATAATAAAATACTGCGAGACAAAGGATGTTGCATCAAATATTGTGGTCTCAGCCGCATTGCAGATTATCAGTGCGTACACTCAATACTGTCTATCCCGAATAGTTCGTGTAGGACCTACGGATGAAGATAGTCAGGAATATGGCACCTGGGATCACTTCGACAGCATGGAACTCGATGGCCAGACCGATTCCAGCTCAGATCATGAAGAGTTCTCTCATTTGCAGCAGGAGCTTCACCCCATGCTGTGGCGTTTCCTTTCCAACATTTTCGGCAACGATACTGTTCCAGACCATGCGATCCTTAAGGGCACGGTCGACTGTTGGTTTGAGGTTGCCCACGCTCTTGTTACCTTGAGAGCACGGAGTTGGGATGACTTTATGGGTCAATTCTCGACATATTCATGGGAGTCTCTGCGGCACACTCAACAATCGCAGCAGTATAAGATCTATTTTCTCACCAAAGTTATAGATGCTAGCTATGGGTTTTATGAGAAGGACCGCCTTCGAGTTCTGACCATATGGATTAGCAGTCTATGTCGACCGAATAGGGCTCTCCTTTGGGAGCCTTTGCTCACTTCCACCATCTTGTTCCATGATCCAGAAAATCAATTACTATTCAATCCCCCTTTCGCGGTACGATCGGATGTAGGTGGAAAGCTTGAGATATCGAAGAGTGAACTATGTGAGCGCCGTACTGCCATGATATATGTTCTGCTGCGCAATATGCACAGGCTTATAGCAATTTCGTCGACGCAGCCGTCGCATCCCTACAGCAAGTCGGAGTTTTGCGAGATCCTCAAGAGTATGGAGACAACAATGAAGGCCTCCTACCAAGATCTCTCAGTAGATCAACAAGCACAAGACGAATATCGAGTCTTCCTACACTTTGTGATCCAACAAATGCAATTGTACGTGGTCGACTTCCACAAGATCGACGCCTTCTTGACGGACCCAGCCATCTTCTCAGCTGAATCCTATGCAATTACTGCTACCTTGAAACGATATAGCTTGATGATTCAGACAACCGGGGTTACGAAAGCAATGGTGCTTTTCCTGTATAATGCTAATGAAAGAGCTGCTATCAGTGACACTCAGGATCAATTCATCCCCCAGCTGTGCGATGCATTGCTGGATCTAGGTCCGGAGTCAATTGAACGGACTGAGAATCACGATTCGGATGCTGCTTTGCTAACATCGCTATTGCAGAATGTGTTTCCTGTTTATGTACGTTATGCCCTCTCAGCACCTGGACACATTGTCTCCAGGCCATTGCTCCGAGTCTTGACTTATATCTTTGTGAACCTTCGGTGTCGCTCTGATCTCTGGAATGCGTCTGCACTCCAGCAATTGGTCACTGCCGCAGATATCATGCTACGAAGCGCAATCAGCGCTTTCCAAAGTTGTGCACCAAGTCTCATTTTATCATCCCTCGAGCTTCTCGAAAACTTTGCCGAGCTTGTTTCATTCATTCATTCAGCAATGCTGCGCACATATGAAGCAGTTCAAGCATTTCCTTGCGACGTCGAAATCAGTAGTCTCATAGAGGTTCTTCTAGTTCTCAAGGACCACATCCTCGCCGTTGAACGACCGTCCGATGCAGATTCATACACTCTGCAAATTGAGGCTGATGAAGACTTGATTGCCAACGCACCTGCTGAACCCTCCATGATGAGGGCTTATGCAGAGAAGGAATTGCAGAATGCGCTCGAAAAGACATGGCGCACCGACGCATCAGGTGGTTGGCAAGTCATTGGGAGAGGAGCGCCAAAGGTAGTCAAAGCTTCCAAGAGAACGGTCTCAGGCGCCGCTGCAGAAACGGAGATGGAACAATGCAAAGAGAAGGCGAGATTCATGGTACGCGAGTTTGTGGAGGCTTTTGTGCATCTAGATTGGTGGGGGTAGGTAGTGCATATACACATAGCCAATTATATGACACGATACGCGTTCAGTCTTTGTAAGTGGGTACATCCTGTTAGTATAAGTTGTTGGCTTGGTTGCTAAAGACAAGCATCGTTGACGAGAAGAGACATGAGAGGTTTTTCACCACTTCTGCTTCAATCCGTCCTTGGCTCGCCGGTCCGTAGGTCTCCGTCCCGAGTGTTGCTCGTATGGGAGCGGATACACGATTACGAAGCAGGGTCTAGTTTTTGCTCTGCATGCGGTTCCGTGCACGTTGTTTGTGGATGGCCTACTACGGTACCTGGCATAAGTATTCGAAGCACGGCACTAGTATATTTGCAGCAAAACAGACTCTGAACGAGACACCTAAGCCTGGAGCAGTTAGGCGGTACTGGTGTGGCCAATCGATATAAATGATAGCCAAAGAGAAGCTTCTAGGTATTGATGTGGCGCTGTACCCGAACTAGCTGCTACTAGCGCCGTGCTACGAATATTTATGCCCCCTGCCGTGGTAGATGCTTTGTGATACATCCATAGTTGATGCAGCTAATTCTTCTTTTCTTATGTAAGTACATGCGCGTCTGCTGAGAGCATGTTGGTATTGGTGCACGAGTGCTATGATAAAATCCGGGTAATTCGAATAGGGAGATTTTTAGATAACCCTGTTTTGGATACTGGGAAGTCATCGTTCATTGTTTCCAAAAGGTCGTATCAGATGGAACCGTTATGGGAAATTGGATTTCGAGATGAGGCTTGTGGCTGTTCTGAGACGGGGCACGAGCAGACCGGATGTCAGCACCGGTTGAGACGAAGCTCCCTCGTTCATCTGGAGAAGTGTAGTACATAATCGACCTTTTGCAGAGGTGATCACTACTGCTACTTAGCTCAGCCTTCATCTTGACTCAGACGCAATCGTTCGTTATCTTTATCGAGTTTTCTCCATCGTGTGGTCCAGCTATGTGGTCTAGAGCGCCTCGCAACATAGCAAGAATCCTTGACAAAAGCTGAAGTTTGCTACCATTGACTGGACCTTGACATTGTTGATTTTAAGTTGAACGGTCTATTAGATAGAGTAGAAAAGCACATTGTACTACCTATTAAAAGGTTGAGGACATAAATATGTATACAAACTTGCTGTGCGATATAGCGAAATTTGTTCTGACGTTGCATTTGGAATGGACCAATCAAACGCAGATTAATAGCGGGGATTCAATGTTCAAAAATTGGTCGAAAGGCGCTCTCACAGCTTGACATATCACCTGCAGAAGCTGACTTCCTCTTTGGGACTCTGATCGAGTAGCATTATGGCGCATCTACCTCCGACACAGTCCGTATGGGCGCTTAACGAGACCGCTGGCGGACTGATCGCATTCAGTAAAGGACTACTTCAGGCTGCTACAAGTGACAACGTCAGCCCTATTGCTCTGTCTGCGTGTCAGTCCTTTGGCGCCCTCCTTCCAATTTGCCCCGAAACGCGCTTGAAAATTGGGCAGCTTGCTCGACGCAGCCACACATCGCACGTGCTCAAGTTCGTATCTGCTCAGATTGGCTACCTGAAAGGGGACTCGGTCGAGATATTGTCCGAGTCTGATGGCGGTCTTCGCTTTCTGAGCCTGGTCGCAACATTCTGCACTATGACCCGCTATGAAGCTGCAATACGCATTGATTCGCTGCTAGAAGCCACCCAAAGTCGAGATCAGCTTCGTCCCACGATCGTTCAAGTGCAAAGTATGATGAGAATACTTGAAAGCAAGCTTGCTCTTTCTGACTTCGCGGCAAGTGTGGCTGGCTGGGAGATCTGGTTCACAAGTCAGTTGTTGCGGCCTGCGGATGATCTTTTCCGGCCTCAGATAGCAGTGATTCCATCGAAAGGAAAGTTGCAGGATTTGATTTTACTCCTTAACGAGACAAGCCGACTTGGTGAAGAGCAGGGTGCACACATCAGATCCCGGCCAGAATATGTGCCATGGTTAGTCGCTTTCATCAAATGGTTGGTTGGCGAACCTCCATTTATCCAGCTTGTAACCGGGCGGGTATTGAATCACCAAGACAAGCCTCGTATTCTTTTGACTGTCCTTGAAAGCTCTCAGGATGACCACCGTGCTGAGCAAATGCGCAATTCTGTTAGAAAAAGTCAAACAACGGATCTCCAGGTTTCAGCCTCGCACATGAATGAAACGTTGAGAAACCTCGTGATAGAAGAGAAGATGCCCAAATCGAAGATGCCCTGGAATGGTCTAATGACTGTACGTCAATGGACAATCTTACAGGTCAGACGCCTTTTCAATGAATATCCAGCCCTGCAGAGCAATCGAGAGCTTCATGGGGTGCTGGAAAACACCATCTCCCTTATGGTTGGAGTTTTGCCAGATCGGCTGAGCTTTGAAGGACACGAACAAAGGACGCAATTCGACTACTCCCGGTACACACAGAGAACTGATAAAGTCTCCCCCATGGACTCACTATTGCGTTGTACCGCGTTTCCTGAGGCTGGGGAGAGAATTGCATTGGTTCAAGAGCTTCTAGGAACTCACATTACAGTCGTCCCGATAGGCAGTGTCAATGATGACCTTCATTGCCTCAAAAGTCTATCGAGCATAGTAGAGAAGGAACCATCATTTAGAACAGGGCCAAAACGAGTGCACAGCGATAAGAAGGCACACTTCGTATCTTTGATCGTTCATCTTGGTGCAGAACTAACATTTTTTTCGTTGTTTGGTTCAAACATAGATGCTTTCCCTCTTGTTTGCGCGAGCCTGTGAGTCAGCATGACTTACCCCCCGAGGAGGTAATTTACTCACTTGCTGATAGAAGACCAAGTAGCCTATGGAAATCTACCGTGGAGAAAAATTGGCGGCGGATTCTGTATCATCCAGGCTACATCCTGTGCGACAGGTACATGATAATGCAACATGCAACTCAACTTCTGGGGCACAAGTTGGTAACTCCAGACACAATCATGTCCTCGAACCGTGGTCAGGTTATCTACCCGGCATTCTTCGAGTCCACCAATTTTATGACAAAAGGCTATCTCCAGCTTTGTGTTTTTCCGGGGTTCCTGAATATGAACGGAATGAGATTCGACCGTATGATAGATGAATGGCATGGTACTTATCGCCTTTCTTCTGATGAGCTCGCAATTCCAGATGCAGCGAAGCACCAGTCCAGGGTTCCAGCAACTTTTGTCCCGCCACGTCCAACGGATAGCCTTCAGACACCCATGCGTTGGAGGACCTCCGTTTATGACGATGTGTTGCAAGGGACGCTTGTGCTTGATGACAGACAGAATGGCTATTTTGGCGGCTGGAATTTAGTGCAGATAATCGACCATGTCCTGTTTACTCCTCCCTGCCAGCACAAGCCCGATAGTCCTGCTGGAGATCTGGCTGAAAACTTCTATCTCGCCAGGGGTTCACCACATGAACTATGCACACCATGTTTGTTAGAATCAGATAGGCGAGATTACGGAACACAGCTATACAAGCTGGCTCAAGCGTGCTCTACTTACGATGTCGGTGACGGTGAGCAGGTGGTACTACATTATGTTGGTTGCATACGATGTGCACTGCAACTTTGTTTGGATTGTCATGGTAAGGTTGTAATTTGTTGATGCATGGCCCTCCCCAGTGCACAGAAGACCAAACGCCAGCTTGAAGGGTTTATTTTGGACTCAGCTTATGTTGGCCCTGAACGATCTATCTGAGCGGAGCGAACTTACTTTGCCCTCAAAGGCATCAGACTTGTGACTTCCCATGATCAGAGCAACCAGAGATGTTCACGAAAAGTTAAATGAAATCACATTGCTACCATAATTATATTACAAGTGCACAATTCTTACTGTGCCTCTTTCGGCACTTCTCCTCCTCAACTTTGTTCAGTACTGGTAGGCATTGAGCGTAGGTATAATACTTATGACAGACAGTATGGATATTGACCGCAATCTCCCCACATCAAAACAAAGGGCACAACACGAAGAACGCAACACTGCCACACCAACATGAGATCTTCCTTCCCACTCTCTCTGTACTTATCCGAAACGGCATTAAGTATATGGGCACAAGGTATTTACTCTGCATCTGATACGTCCGAAGATCAAGACTCCCGACCCCGACCTCTCTCCCCGGGTAGGGCGATAAGGCCCAATCAACATATCTAGACAAAACAGGACGTAGCATATAGGTTAGATATGGTCTAAACCCTGCAGAGCATTGACATAGCTCTGTTTTTTCTGGTTCATCATGGTTATTGGCCAACAAGATTGATCTCTCGAAAGCTGGGACATGCCGCCAACCGTGAGTATAAAGGAATTTAACACGGAGTAATTGTACATCAGAGTGTACGGAGTAAGTGCCAAATCATGGGCCTTTTTAACGCTGCTTCTGACACACCCTCTACACCCACGTTGGACAGGAAGTGAGTGGCCTCACCACCTCTGATTACCACTCTGCCTCAATGTCTGCATTCCACCCATATTGCCCGTCACGCAACTAAATGTCAATGAAGGGGAGGCCACCAAGGGCGAAGGCGGTGCCGTGGTTGAAGATGGAGCCCGCAGGAAACGTGATCGGCTGCTCTGATCTGAGGACGAAGCGAAGAATTAGAAAGAACGGATGCATGGATGGAGGGTCGAACTGGGCGGAGGTGGCAGATATGGATAGTGAGACCTCTGGAGACTGGAGGAGGGCATGTGGTCGTTGATGTGGATGATGCAACAATTGTGCTGTGACAAGGAAAACCGAGACCCAGAACGCAATGTGTAACAGAAATAGACGAGTGTAAGAGTATGTTTCTGGTAGCATGATTGATTGATGGTATAATCAGAGAGCGCGTAGCTTAGCAGTGTTGATAGTTGATGCAAAGATACACATATTTTAAGCTGTGGGACACTGAACCTGCCATCTCTACATATTGGCTTGTCAGCTGGTGAAGCTGAAGGATTGACTCGATAAAAAAAGGCATGCTGACAGGCCCAATAATGCGATGTGAACTCTGAGCTAGAATTGTCCCTAATGATTAAGGCAGTCACCAGCGTCCAGGTCTTTCCGACTCGAAGAGAAGAGCAGACTATGCAGGGCTGGTGAGTCTTGAGCATAGACCAAGGAACTTTCACGGCGTTCTTCCCACTTCCAGTCACAGGGCTTCGCAGATTCCCGACATCAGGGAGGGTGGGTTGACCAGGTTGACCACCCAATGACAAGCCTCAAATAAGTATGTCACGTACCTCGTCTCCAGTCGAGGGCTTTACGAAACATCGTCGGCCAGACGCGCCTTCGTGCAGCAAGGTTTGTCTCTTGACGAGCTCTTAAATGCCGAAACATAGTCCATGGGCTGTGAGGAAGGGCAAGATGCGAAAGCCTTCCGCAGAACTGTGATAATGCCAGTTGGTCTGTAGTGAATATCCTGAAATCGGTCAATCGACACTTAGTGCTACGGTGCGTGCTTTTCCGCCCTATGCTCATTCTGCGGGTCTGTTGTCTTCGTCGTCCCAGGAAGCATCGCCCCGAGCTTCTCCACTCCAGACTCAACAGCTCTTCCGATTCTTGTATCAGCCTTCTCTTCCGCCTCTTCCATCCTCGCTTCGTCCCTGGCAAAGTGCTGGGAGCTTACGATATCTTCACCTTCAGGTCCATAGGCTCTGACGCCCTCGCTCTCGTCCTCTTCCGCCAAATTAGTGCCTCTGTCGGTATGTGGTTGATGAGAGCTGCTTCTTACACTGTTCGCACGGCTAACCTCTGCGCTTGTTGAGTCATCTGGTCGTAAGCCCAAATCCTTGGTTAGGGAATCTACTCCAGCCATGATGGTGGCTCCCATAGTAAGCATGGCGCCTCCTGGTCTTCCACTGCTCACGCCACTTGATGGACTGGCCTCGGCAGCAGCATCTTTATCCTTTTCGCCTCGCCAATCTGCAGGTTCTGGTTCTGGGACTGGATCTCCCTTGGCTGGTTGTGCGATGACTTTCTCCAGCGAGTGCATAGTAGCGTTATCTTTGCTTGCATATCTCCACACCACCTTCAGCCTGTCCATGGCTTTGGTTCCCTTGCGAGCGCTTCCTTTTATGCCATCCATAGCTTCCCAGTCGATTTCGAAAACGCCCGAATCATTGCCCTCATGGCCTCCCTCAAAATAGGCATTGAGACCATGGTCCAGCCGGTATAAGAGGCTTTGTTGCGTCGCTCGAAGTCGATATTGATGTCGCTTGTAGGGAGTATAATTGGCGTGGTAGGTTTGAGCAGGACTGTAGCTCCGATTGAGGTGGCTCGTGTCGGGGCGTTAGGAAGGTCGTGGGTGGGGGATGTACCTGTTGGGGACATTGGAGTATTGACGAATGGGGTGCCATTGCTTAGGAGACTGCTAGCAGAAGATGGAGAGCTGATTTGTGAAGATTGCAATGTGTCCATTGGGGACTCACCGTCATCCACGACGATCTTTTCGCTCTTCTTGAAAATGTGGAAACTTTGAATTCGCCGACCGTTTTCCACAAAGCCTTCCACAGCCACCTTGACACCATCTCTCAAGCCCCAGATATGAAGCTCAACGATCTCCACTGGTCTCTCAATGTATCGTTTGTTCATGTGGTTGGTCCACCTGTCGACATAACCCACCCATCGCAGTTGACTGGGTATGCTAACTCCATAGCCAAAGCCTACCCTCATCCTTCGATCAGTAAATCGTTGTAGCGCGTCAGCTTTCTTCCAACCCTCCTCACTGATCAGGTAAGAACAGGCGGCTGTACCACTTCGGCCCTTTCCAGCTTTGCAGTGTAAAACAGCAACCCGTCTCTTTCTTGCGGTCTCAGAGCTCTCTTCTAGCATTTCGGTTGGTGTCTCCTCTCCTTGCACCCAATTCCGCATACTCGCCATCAAAGCTGGTATTATAGCGAAAGGCGGCGGGTGATGGTCAGGCCATGGAAAATGGTGGATGCGGTTGTAGACCTCATGGTCGGGGTACCCTGTCCCTTCAGCGCGGAACTCGAATATTGACCATTCTGCTTGATGTTTGCTATCGAGAAATTTGACCAATTGGTCTGTAGGGTTTCGATAGGCTTTCTTGGGCCATACTGAACTAGGTCCAGACGTTGCAATTACTAGTAGCCCAAGAGTCAGCAGGCTGAAAGGGACAAGGAGGATTGCGCACCTTACTGTTGTCTGTCACGTAGCATAGGTCAAGGCCGGCCTCTGGGTGACGTGCCCGAGGACTTGCGACAATCTGGCGTAGAAGGGTTGCCTGAGAGCATCAGAGATGAGGTCTTTAGACTGAGTTGGACAAGATGAAGTAATGGTACCATTCAATCCAACTCTCCTCAGTTGCGTTTGGTATACATTGAATCACGGAGGCACGCTTGATTTGTTCATGTTGCAATCTAGCTTTGCCAGATCTTATGTTTGTCAATGTGAAGGAATTTCTGTTGGCAAACGAGATGATGACGAATTTAATACTTTGCTACCCTTAAGGGAACTGGATGTTCGTAACGCGGTAAACATCGTCATCGACAAGCTAAAGCTTGTTTCCATCTCCTAAGGATCTTCTAGCACTTGGCTGCTGCACCTTGCTTCTCCCAGCCTGAAAGCGTACTCGGGACCGAATCGGCTGATCTACTCGCTGATCAAATGTGAAGTTTGTGATGTAGGCCACGACTCGGTATGGGATCCTAGCAAGGTAATCCCTCAATGGCGATTACTAGAAGCCGAACATTGCCGTGCGACTTGATACGTATATCTGGTTTTTGGATAGTCCAGACGGAGGGCAGTCCAAGATACGGGCCAGAGTCAATTGTCTCCAACTATCTACACTCTTTGCCCACTTGATCCGGACACTGCAGAAACACGGTTACTCAAGGTGGAACATGCGCATGAGCAAGATAGTACCCTGCGGTGCGCGTTCTACGAGGCGTCCCTGAACAGCTTTGTATCTGCATTTACTGCCGTATCATATTGCTGGGGACAAGCTGAGCATGACCAGGTGATCTACGTTGGGCAGCACCCTGTCAAGGTGACGAAGAGCGTCCATGTCGCGAGTGGTGCAACTTCTTTTGGATCGATCAAATGTGTATCGACTAATATAATTTTGGTGAAAGCAGCAAGCAGGTTGCATCCATGAGCGCGATCTATTCGCAAGCCGACCGTGTCCTTGCCTATCTGGGACTCACCGGGGAGTACACGTCGTTGGCGGTCGACCTCGTAGAGCACTATCAGAAAAGGTTAAAGGGTCAGAACTTTCCGGAGATACGCATTGCACAGGTTTCAGCATCAGCGAGCGTGTCTTTCGCTGCATCAAGGAAGCCTGCGAGCTATTCTGGCAACGGATACTTCACCATGTTGCACTGGGCCTAAACAGTCTGGTGACAGTATGTGGATCTCGTCATGTTCAATGGAATGTTCTCAGATTGGCATGGCTCCTCTTTACCCGAAGACCAGAACTTGCCTCCTGAAATCTTTCGTTCACATTAACTGTGATTTTGCAACTATGCGCAAGGCTAGTCGTCTAGTGAAAGAGCACAGTAACCTCGTCAATCGAGACCTGTGGGATTCTGGACGAGTGCAGTGGATTGGAAACCCAGTGAGCCAAGGGATAAGATATATGCTGTGCTTGGGCTAGTGAAAAGAAAGTTAACCATCCCTGTTCCAGATTACGCAAGATCAGTCCAGGATATCTATCTTGAATTGCCCAAACATTTTGTCCGAACTGGTCATAGACTTGAGATCATCAATGCAGCCGTGGCTAACGATCGCCAGCAAAGAACTAGTTATCCTTCTTGGGCTGCTTGGTTCAGTGGTATGGATGTACGTGATTTCAGGCCGGTATCTTCTAGGATGAACGCCGCACGTAACACAGCGCCAGTGGTGACATTGGGAAGGTCCTTGTCAGATACTATTGTGCAGGTTGTTATCATTGACAGACTCATAGATGTTGGGCCACTGGGAGCAATGCGAGGCGCAAAGGCCCAGACTTCCAGTCCGGAGCAGGAAGTTTTCCTGGAATGGATCTAGATATCCTTGGCTTTGTTGGAAGCACTCGACATTGCCTTTCCTGCTGCGAGTCTGATGATTCTTCTCCTGCAGGAATCACCAAAGATAATCCAGGACGCTGTCGTCTCAGCACATATTTGTCTTGCAAATGCCAGGGAAGAGGTGCTTCAAGCCGCTATTCGACTTTGTCGACTCCCTGCGCACTGTATCGGGTCGAAGTACACTTCGGAGCCGCATGATGACATTCCGCTTCGATCAGCAACAGAAAAGTGATGGGCACATCACTCTATTGAACGACTTTGGATTCCAAGCAATAGCCCGTCTTCATGGGCGAAGAGTCTTTATCACCAAGCAGGAAAGGATAGAACTTGCTTCGAACGCTGCAGCAGTTGGTGATGACGTTGCTATCATTAGTGGTGGACGTACACCATATATTCTGCGTGAAAAGGGAGGCTTCAAGGAAATTTATAGCCTCGTGACTTGGGCATATGTTCAGGGTATAATGCATGGCGAAGCTCTGAAAGAGAATTGCCAAATTTATAGTATCACGATTGAATGAATGCGAGTAGAAAGTCTCGCACTCATGGTGAACTTGTATTTAACATTACAACGGCACGTATACCTTCATATCTGCTTTACTTAGCAATCTGGTTGAAAACCATTTTCAATGGGTATATAATGTAATGTAGTGAGCTTATCTTTAGATCACACGACAAGCATATAGAACTTCCCTGATTTGCGACAAGAGCGGCTTCCAACGTCCTTCAAGACCCGGCATCATAGCACAGATCTTGTTCTAGGAATCAACCAAGCGACGAGGTGGGATCAAAGAGATGAGGTTGGGATTCGTTTCTTGGGTCCAGACTGAATACTGTACACATCGTTTAAGCGGGGTGCATCAGCATTCGTCCTGAAGGCTGTCGTGAAGCGGAGACAATAAGTATAAATAGTCAAAAGTGTTGACGACCAGCAGCCTTGGCCCTTTGTTAGACACCTATGATTACAGAGCTTCAAAACATGCTTAGACCTAATGTCTCTCGGCCAGAGAGAGTGAAACTCATGTATGTATTTTCGAGAATTTTTCTTTCGCCACCTCACCGATCGACATGGAATCGAGTACTGACAGCCAGGCCAGATATATGATGGTATCAGAAAATGAGAAACAGGCCGAATTTGCGAGCAATACAGAGTACAGTAAACATACTACCCGACTGGCGATTGTTGTTTCAGGCAGAATTGAGTTCAGGTTTCATGATTCAGAATGGAGAACAGTACTTTCAATTTTGTCGTTTCTGCCGGAAATTTGCAGAACTCCATCCTTGTACAATTTGGAATGATTTCCGTTGCGAGGGATGACTTTGCTGGCGCCAGCTCCAGCACCTGCACACACTGCAGTGGAGTGGTGTTGGCATCTTTTACGTAGTAGACCCGCATTGGGCGTCAGCACCTGGGGTGTCACTAAGCAGTCTTACTGTATGGGTTGCATATGAGACCACGTCATCAAATTGTTGTTCCTGCGTTGCCGGTGCACCTAAGCGAGCTTGACTGGCCGTCGGCATGGGCCAGAAAAAAAGTGTAAATGGCATCGGGATCTGGCAGACTGGGAGGCCGGGATAGAAAAAGGTGTGGGTGACAGAACCCAAAAATCCCACCACTACGGCAGGCCAGCAATCGATAACAAAATATGCTTATATCTAGCCCACAAGGCTGGACGCAAACCCTTTTTATCAATGAGTGTCAACTAAACCGTCAAAGAGGTACCTCATGACTTTTGGCTGAACAGATTCCACAGGATGAGGGAACATTCGAAACCTCCTTCAGCCACCTGGCCAGGCTCTTTTCAATGTTGGTGTAACCTAACGGGGCTAAGCCAAGATCTCTGCAAGACACGTTAGGGAAGCTGGCATCCTGCCGCTGTCAGTTTGTCCCTGACCTATATGGTAACATGGGGATGGACGCAATCCATCATTCCGCTATGACTTTTGAAAAGCTGAACCTGTCTCTCGAGCGTTCTCGTACGGGATATCCTTGCATAATAGCATATTGTATTACACGGTTCTATGATTCTGATTTGCCAGAGGAATAACCCTGAGCACAAAACTCTGCAGATAATAGGGAAGATTTGATGTCTAAGAAGCATAGACCTAGCAATCCTTGATGGCTAAACAGAGGTGACCAGAGCCCACCAGCAAGCTAGCTCGGGCAATGTGCTCCGTAAGCCCACCAAAATTTCAGAGGAAGTGGAGAAAGCGGTGGTCTGCAATTGCATTTCAGGCTTTGCTCTCTTCTTGCACATGGTTGCTTACAAAAGCACTTGATGACGGGCCGAAATGATGCGATGGAAGAGGTGTGGCAATTTCCGCTCTAACACAGCGTCTGCATCCAATGTTCTTGTTCTGCCAGCCCGCTTCGCCTGAGGGTCGTGTAGTAACACAATAGGTTGTAGCTGGCGAAACTGACAGTAGATAATAGATTCGCGGCAGGCTTTTGTTCTTGGAGGGCAACTATTGGGCTGCCCACCGAAGTCGTTATCCAAATATTGGCAAGTGTTGTCCGGGATCGGCAAGGTTATCTGGTTCCTGGAAAGTCGAGCACTGTTCGGAACGAAGAAAACTCTGAACCCCACTGCCGACAATCACTCGTGCTATCGGTCCCACAGCCCTGGGGAGCAGGGAATGAACCCCTGCTCATACCTAACCACTTAAGTTATCTGCATCCTACTCGATTCGTCTGGAGACGAGTTGCGCGAGAACATGGGTCAAACGTCTCACAGTTTTCAGACGAGTTAGCGAGCTCTTCTTGCACATTGATTCACTGCTTTCGATGTCTTTATGTGCGATGACCACACAATACATCTTGACCAGTCAATCAGAGTGTTCTTTGATCGAACCAACCAGCTCCAAAGTCATTTTAGAGGCCTGATCCACAGCTATGCTCACTTGCTAGTCTGTATCCACTTGCAGGCCCCTTGTTGTCTTTCGCATGAGTTGTCACCAGGAAGAGGATTCTGGGAGAAACCATTCCTATTCTCTTGGCGTGCAACCATGGCCCTAATCTGTAGAAATACAAAGCATGTCCCAGAAGTGATTCTTTGACACCGTTATCCATCCTTCTGGTTCCACTGGTTGTTCTATTCACTCCTTTTCCAAGCCACTTTGACAGTAACCACAACTTTTTTTTCGCCTGGACGCGGCTTGACTTACAGTCAATTCAATTCCAAGTACCATTCATTTAAGACCATTTCCAACAAAACCCGCAATCAGCCCCGCAACCGCATTAACGACTATCCGACGACGTTACAACCTACCTCAGCGGCGTGACCAAATCAGTAATCACACTGCGTAAGGTCATTAACCTCCACAACAATTTCCTGCGAGTAAGGACTGGGTAAGTTTGACACAAGATCTCCGTACTATTTTTCTGCTTAGTCCGTTGTCTTCGCGCTACATTGTTTCATTTCTTTTGAGATACCTTTTGTTCGGCCAGTCACAGTCCCTCTGGTGCTTGGCTTTCGTTATCGCCCAGCACACCGCTGCAAGCCTTTTACCGCTACTGTGTCAGTTACCCCAATTACCAGCAGTGTGAGAACGTGGGTTGGGTGGATGCCAGAGGCGGACAAAGGCGGCACCAAAGGATGGATCTACGCAAACAGAGCTTAAAGAGATGCTAATTCAGGCACCTTTGTCTGATTGGGCCCCCAGAACTGCAATTTCCCCTAGCCTGGAATTTCCCCCTTTCACCATCTCCACTCTGGGCCTTAGCGCCCAAAGCCGCCTCCACCCAACGAAAGTTGGTACCACTTTCTAATTTTCCCGCCCCCTTCTATTTTCTCTCTTATTCTTTCACCACTTCCCACCCGACAATCTTTTGACAGCCTCGTCGACGTTGCTTTTCGATTCATTGGATTTCCTTTGCATGTTTAGAGAGCTCGTTCTCTCGTTCCTCTCCTTAAACAGATCACGCTATTATCAGCATTAGCATCGCAACACCTGTGAGATTCACCTATCCCTGTTTACCATACCATCAGCTTCTCGCGCAGCATTCCTGCGTTGTCGCATCCTTCGCCCGGACCATTCAGGGCTTGCTGCTTGTTTGGGGAGTCACCCTTGTGACACAGCAATTGAAGCCCCTTTCACATCTCTTGTCACACGCTTTCTGCACTGCCTGCATTCAAGAACTGCCTTTGACAACTTGCTGACATGCTGGACATGTTGCAGATCTTTTCAAGCCAACCTATCGTCATTGAAACAGCCAATCTTTGAAGTCATCATCGAAGTCTCCGAGAGCACTTCGACTACCATCCTTTTCCGCCCAAGAACTGACTTGAAGTCGATCATCAACTATAAAATGAAATTTGCTGCTACCATTGCTTTGACCGCTGCTGCGGCTCAGCTCATCCTCGCCCAACCTCACGGTCATGCTCACCATCACAGAAAGCACGTCCAGAGCGTTAGCGTTGTGAAACGCGACACGGCCACCGTTTATGTCGACGAGTCTGGCAATGTCATGGCACTTGAGGAAGTATGTCATGGCCTAGCCTCCAAGAAGCTGAAATTTAAGGATGGCGATGCGCCAGAGGACCTTTGCAACAAAGCAGAACCAGCACCCACACCAAGCACCACTGCCGCACCAGAACCTAGCAGCTCTGCAGCTGGTGCGGCCTTCTATGAAGCCTCATTAACTGAAGAAGCCTCTTCCGTCGAACCTGAACCTACCCCGACAGAGGAGGCATCCTCGTCTGCAGCGCCTGCAGAAACCTCTGCTGCACCTTCACCAAAGGAAGAGGGGAGCACAGGTGGAGAAGCCTACAAAGGTGGTAAAGGCCTTGACTCCGAATTCCCCGACGGCGAGCTCGATTGCAGCACCTTTCCATCTGAGTATGGCGCAATCCCCGTGGATTATTTGAAAATGGGTGGCTGGATAGGAATCCAGAAGATCTCTATTGCCAACAACTTCGTTCAAGACATTGTTACTGGTATATCTGGCGAGAACTGCGTTGACGGCGCCATGTGTTCCTACGCGTGCCCACCCGGCTACCTTAAGTCACAATGGCCTAGCATGCAAGGTGCAACCGGTCAATCTGTCGGAGGTCTTGAGTGCTCCGGTGGAAAGCTCAGACTTACGAACCCCGACTTGTCAAAGAGCCTGTGCATCAAGGGTACTGGTGGCGTCAGCGCAATGAACAAGGCCGGTGGCGTGGTTTCTATCTGCCGTACTGATTATCCTGGCACTGAATCAGAGACTGTCCCCACTGTTGTTGAAGCTGGAGCGACCGAGGAATTGGCTTGCCCTGACTCTGGCACCTATTACAAATGGAAAGGCATGCCCACCAGCGCTCAGTACTATCTTAACCCTATCGGCACCGGCCCAGAGGATGCATGCCAATGGGGAACTGCGGGTACCAAGCTTGGTAACTGGGCTCCAATCAACTTTGGCGTCAGCAAGAAAGGTTAGTCACGATGAAAACGCTTTGTAAGACCACGTTAGGTTTGCTAACTCAGTCCATAGATGGCACCACATGGTTGAGCATTTTCCAAAACAAGCCAACCACCGAGGAGTTATACGAGGGCACGGTAGAGATCACTGGTGATATTGTTGGCTCCTGCAAATACGAAAATGGACAATATTGCGGCGCCACTGGCTGCAACAAAGATGGATGCACCGTATGCCATTTACCTTGGCTTAGTCCTTTGTGTTGTCGCTAACAAACTGTGTTAGGTATCGTTGAGCTCCGGCGAGGCCACGTACGTCATCTCATAAACAAACCAGATATGACTTTTCCCTTTGTCTAGAGGATGGCGTCTTGACTTTTATGTCGCATATCTCACATCGAGCCAGCTTCTACGCCGCCTTGCGGTAGGGGTTCCGGATTTCTAACTATATCTGCGGCATGTACTGAGAATAACCTGGTGAGATGCAAAGAGTCAAGTTTAGACTTCCCGGCGCGATGGAAATCTTCCCTTGGATGTTGGTTTTCCCCTCCGATCGTCTCCTGCATGCATGATACCCACGTTGTCGATGCATGCATTTCAACTCCTGGGTGGACTTTCGTGGTTCCGATGCCAACTAGCTTATTTTTTCGTCCTGCAAGGAAGATGTACATACATTTCTCCGTTTCCGGACGGTCGTTCTTTGTATCTACAGCTTTTCATGCCAAGTCTTTTCCCTTCCATCGATGAGTAGCAGCTGGAATGACTGCTTGCCACGTTACGGAACTCCCTCTGATGTCGTTGTCAGTTGAAACTGCTGGCTTCCTTGTACATAGATTTATACACAACATTTGGACTCTTTTGTTCGTCCCTTGATATACGTCAGATATCTTCTGAGCTGGGTCTTTCGTCTCCTGCTGCTGCCTGCTCTATGCATGAAAGGTACACCGGCAAAAACTTTGCCCCGGTTCTCAACACGCTCTCAATTGGGTCTTTCCAGAATGTCTACGCTTTCAAGAAGCTCCTGACGAACACCTCGGCCTCCGTTTTCCTACCTCATGTTCTCCTGTGGTTCAGGAAAGAAAATAAGAATGATTTATTTGGTACTAATACCTAAAAGCTGCTGTGATCTTGAAGCTCCGTTGTTCTTGCGTATGAAAATGTGGTGCATTTTTTGTAGGTATGGAGCATATCAGTTCATCAGAAGCGAAGTACTCTGTATTGAGTGTGCAGGGAATCAGGGGCGGGATGCCAAGCCTGCTGATCTGGCCCTTCCACTGTAGTTCAAGTTGGAGAACCCTTGCTGTGATTCTACAATTACTTCAGCCCACTATCACTTGACTGTTTAGTTAGCTGTATTTGCTTGCTTGAAATCCGAAAAGTTCTTCAGTTCACTGTCCATCGATTGCTCATCCAGAATTGGGCTTCTTGTAAGGTGCTGGCGGTCTGCGACTCCGAATAAGCTTCACATGAGTGCTTGTTGGAGCGGATGCGCGTGAGCTCGAATGGCCCATATGAATGGCTTTGCCAAACATGGCCTTGACGACGATCCTTTCAGCGAGAAGTCCGCTCTTTCAGGATTGAGAACATTCGACGCCTTTCGTGAGTCCCTCAGAAAATTCCGTCACCCTTCTCTGCATGGCTCCATGAGCAGCCTTGAGCCTTCTGAGCTGCTTCTGACCACTGCATAGCGAAAACTAAGCCTTCATATACCTCTGCCTCGCGTCGCGGTGGCCAATGGACACTGCTTGTCCTCGTCATCTGCTCGGCTCTTACCTTCTCCGAGTTGCGCGCCTGGTGGATCGGGGTTGAGACGCAACATTTTTCTGTCGAGCGCGGAGTATCTCATGAATTGCAAATGAACCTTGATATCGTGGTCGCCATGCAGTGCAAAGATTTACACGTTAACGTGCAAGATGCAGCGGGTGACAGAATTCTGGCAGGAGATCTTTTGACGAAGCATGAAACAAGCTGGCAACTCTGGACAGACAAAATAAGCAGGAAGAGGCGAAGAGACCATCAGGCTTACCAGCTCTTGCACGAGGAGAATGCGGAGCGCATGCAAGCTGAAGAAGAGGACCAGCACGTCGGACATGTCCTTGGACACATGAGAGAGGGTGGCAAGAAATTTCCAAAAACACCTAAGCTGAGAAAAGGAGAGCATGCGGATTCATGTCGCATCTTCGGCAGCCTGGAGGGCAACAAGGTCCAAGGCGATTTTCACATTACAGCCAGAGGACATGGATATATGGATTGGGGCTATCAGCAGCATCTGGACCATACTAGTTGGTACCCCTATTTCGCTACAGAGTTAGGACTAATCGAAGCAGCTTTCAATTTCTCGCATTATGTAAACGAATTATCTTTTGGACCACATTATCCGTCTCTCCTCAATCCTCTTGACAAAACTATATCCACAACGCCTTCTCATTTTCACAAATTCCAATATTATCTATCAATCGTGCCTACCATCTTCACCAAGCGCCGCATCTCCACGAAATCTGGTAGTTTAGACCCGGCAGCAATACCCCAACCACCGACCCTCGACCTTGTCCCTCTCAAGGATAAAGATGGGAAAGAAGTCTTGCACGTTTTGAATCAGCTCAGCAGGGCAGATTCTAAGACCCTCTTCACGAATCAATACGCGGCGACATCACAGTCTCGTGAGGTGCCTGACAATACTGTACCTGGCATCTTCTTCAAGTATGACATCGAGCCTATCCTGCTTATTGTGGCGGAGCAGAGGAGTAGTTTTCTTGCTCTGGTGGTAAGGCTGGTCAATGTGGTTTCTGGGGTACTTGTAGGAGGTGGTTGGATGTTCCAATTGAGTGGTTGGTTCGGAGAGATGATGGGAAGAAAAGGTAGAAGAAGCAATACCGGCGTTTTGCATGGAAGACATGCTACTGTTGAGGATGACCATGATGATTGAAGGGCTGTTCTAATGCCAGCCACTTCGAACAGGTTGTGAACGTCTACACTTAGTGTGCTGCTCACCGTTTGGTGGTATGGGGGCCGTCTAGCAGCCGGCAGAAACATGGCTCCTTCCTCATTGATGGTGGACGCGTCAACTACCCCCTCGTTTCATTCTTGGTCCTGCCTGCCCGAAATATCCGTCACATCGAGAGCACGTCTCCCACGTGTCCCTTTGCTCATGGAATTCGATGCCGCCTGATGTCTACGAGGTTGAAGCAAAACGATCATTAGGGGTATTCTGGCACATAAGCGTGCCACCGTCCTGCTGCTCTTTGGACTTCACAACTTGTCGAATGGAGCGATCATGGCTTCTGAAGCCGTCCCCAATCAAGTCAACATCTACCTTTCCTTCTATGACGCTAGCGGTCAGCAAAGTCGCCTTGAACAGCTTACCACAGGCACCGTTGCCTCCCCAGTCTGCCACTTTCTCGCTAATGAGGAGACTGACGAATCCTTGTTTGTGACCGGGGACAAAGATAGTCTTCACTCACACGCGTGTATAAGTATGCTGGAGGGAACCTTCAGTCTTATAATACTAACCATATATGCTAGATGTTTATGCTAGCACAGCTACACTTTGTCTCTTCGAAGACAATCCCGAAGGAAGCTGGGTTTTGCCACCAAGATGGAACCCTGGTACCTCTAACTTTCTCGATCGAACTCCTGTCATGCGCTCCAGCCACGAACAACAAATTGCTATTCAATTACGGCCAGGGGATCAAATACTGTCTAAGGGTGGGCGTTGGTCCATTGACTTCTTCGCAAGGCCTGCAACGCCAAATATCGTCTCCCCCATCGAGAGGAGAGATAGCCGTGACGACCATGACCAGGTTCAGGCTACAGAGCATCCCTTTAACTCGTCGGTGGAACGATCGTCTGCTTTCTCACCAACAGCCTTTTCTCCTGAGTGCCTTCATCGTCTTGTTGAACTGAATGAGCCCAGCAGGTCCATGACATGGGCAAAACTCGCTTACAGCAATGCTGAGGATCATGCTGTTCGTCAGATCTCCCTTTGGCAACATTACAAGAGCACTTTTGAGACATACGGCTCCCTCGTCTCACCAATGGTCCTTCTTAAGGCTGTTACATATGAGTTTCCATCAGTGACAATAATGAAGGAATTCAATGGGGTGAAGTACGTTCTGAAAGGCATTCGTCTGAGAGAGAATCAGTCCCCATTCTCTTCCATCACAGACGAAGACCGAACCGAAGTCACCACATGTCCTCGTCTGACAGAAGTCCCATTGGATGCAGGAGCTTTGTCGCCTGATGTGATGGAAGGTACAGAAACGCCGACCTGGAAGGTAATGGAGGACTCACAGGGAGGACTTCCTCCCCATGCAGCTGAGAAGAATGTCTATGGAGAGTGCATACTTCGCAGGTCACACGTACCTGAGCCACTTCCACCAATGCCGACAAACTCTACTGGACAAAGTAAGCATGTAGAAGCTACTTCACCTCCGTCAAGCCACCAAATGCAGCTTGCTGAAGCACAAAACATGCGCAGTCCAGTATTGAACGAATCAGACGCAAGCCAGTCGCTGTTCGTTGAACACACATCTAGCCCTCATCAAATTTTGTCCTTATCTAGCTCCTGCATAGAGACGGTCTCAAACGATCCACAACTACGGAGTTCCACAGCCTCCACTGATGTTACCTTGGTAGATCTCGGAGAAGTAGCTGTGTTGACGAAGGGTGAGGAAGGTCACAGTGAGTGTTGTAATGTTTCACGCACAGAGGAGTCACCTGTGCCTGAAGACGAAATTTCAGCACAGCTTCGTCAGTCACAAGTCAAGAGGACCAGACAGGGTTCCTCGCGTTCTCCCGTGCCCGGGAAGAGGACTAAAATTGACGATGAGCAAAGCTTGGCAACAGTGAACATGGATGGTGATATCATCATAGAGCAAGATTTAGAGCTAGATGAAGACACGATTGTGGTCGAATGCGGACCCATCACTCAAATAAACTCTCAGCCTGACGCCATCCCTCAGTCCCTTAGCCGAGGCAAAGAGATCTCGATGTCAACAAAAGATCCGATCGACTTATCATCGTCTTCAATTTCAAAGAAGCACCAAGAATCATCGCTACCGACCGATAACACGGCAAGAACAGCCACGTCCCATTTCTCGAAGCAATACTCTGGTGAATCTCCATGCGTCCTGTTCTCAAGTACCACCGAGATTGATTCCAGGAAGAACATTATGGCTTTTCTACGTGAGTGTGGTGGCAAATCAGTCAACAGGATAACCTCAGCCAACATGCTATGTGTTGGGAGCAATCAGCCACTCAAGAAGTCCGCTAATCTGGTGCTGGCGGTCTGTATGGGTCTAGACATCGTCACCGATAAGTGGCTTGTCGAAAGCCAGCGAAAAGGCTTTCTCTTAGATGCACACCACTACCTTCCCAGAGACGCACAACGCGAACGCCAGTGGGGGTTTAAACTATCTGAAGCTGTCGCCAGGGGTAAGTTGCGTGGTGGAATGACCGGCTTGCTGGGTGGTATCGATGTCTACTTTACCCATGGACTGAAGTCTCTGCTTGCGCACAACTTCCGAGACTTTACCGCTGTGGCTACCTGCTTGGGAGCGGACGCGGTCAAGAACGGGCTACCTAATAGAAAAGAACTTAGAAAGGAGTTTCTGATCCTTGGCACTGCGGACGACCCTCAGACTCTGCAGGCATCACACATGGGACTTGAAGTCTGGAGCAAGGATCTGCTAGTGATGGGTGCTTTGCGGGGTACTATCCAACGCGTTGATGAGTTCAACGTTGCAAAGCCCATGAAGCAAGAAAGCGACATGTCTGAGGAGGAGCTGTAGTTATATGCGAGGTGTGGAAGGACAATTAGCCTAGCATGTACGCTTCACACTACAAGCATGTTATGGATTTTGCAGCGTTCTCCTCAAGGTGGAGGTCTTCTATCAGGACGTGGAGAATTACATGTCTGATACTACTCAGCACCCTCACATTGTGATCGTACTTCCTTCTGAAACTTTTCGACTCCCTGTTCTTTGAGTTCAGTATCTTAGCGTTGTTGACAGCAACCACCATGGGAAAAACCGTCCAAGTTGCCGCCAGCGTGACTTGTAACGCACTTGCTTAGAGTTTTCAACCTTGTAGCAATTCACTGGATGCAAACTGCCGCTACGTGAATGCCAAGGAAAGGAGGACGTCGTAGATGCCTCTTTCTGCAATAGTTATTGGGCAGGATGAATTTTATTCAACACCACACAGAGCACTCCGGACATGCTGAGTCGGGGATTTGTGTTGTTATCATCAAGATTTGAAATTGCTCTGGGTCAGGACTTTCTTGGCTCCGACAGTCCCCACTAACTTAGTACTAGTTAAGTCTCCCTACAACTTTCCACACCCTCAGTTAACGACCATGAAATGGCCGGCTTCCACTCGCCGTGGCTTGGAGGCTGCACATTTCCGTTGTTCTGTCGTTTTATTGACCCAGACCTCTCCCCGTGATAATATTTTGACAAGATATCCTCTACTGGCAGTACGGAGCCGGTACTGAGAACTGGTTGACGACCCGAGAAGCCGGATGCCTTCAGTTGCAGTGCGACAGGTAACTGCAAGCATTTCTCCTATCGATACCTAACCAGCCGCGGGACGGCGCATCGCCAGGCTACTTCAACGGCTAAGATTGCCAAATCACGAGGTCAAAATCGAAAGTATAATGTACGCCTAGTCCTAGCTTCAGCAAGCGAAAGAAGAAGAGACAGGAGGAACATTAAGGTTGAATGTTAGCGCTGCAGCTCTCCTGGTACCTGCAGTCTTAGTGTTGCCAGACGAGAAGCAACATTGCTCATTTCAGGTCAAGCGCCGCGCCAACAAGATGCCCTTCCTGTGCTTCTACAGATATCCTGTCCCTAACGCTCTACGGCTCTGCTCCCAACTCTGGGTCACGAGTTCATTATGGCGGTACAGCAAAGCGGTGCGTTTAAAGATTATAAATTTAGTGCCTGAAATATGAGAGTTCGAGACTGCGAGCACTAACTATATCTCTGCGGCATGACGACAGCTCTGGTCTTGTTGAACTCTCCTGTAATTGACCAACTTGGTACCTTGGTCCACTCATCTCGGTGAAAAAGCGCCACCCGCTCCACGAGCAAAGGAGCGCCACCTTGCCACAAAATTGGCAATGTTAGGACAAAGCGCTGAATGAGTAATCCTGCTGATGATGACCCAATTTAGGTCAAGCTCTTTGTTTTGAACCACCTTGTCTGGCAAGCTAACCGCTTCATATCGTTCCGGCTGGCTACCGCGCTGGTTAGTGATCTCCCTGCTTGGACGTTAAGGTTCGACTATGCAGGTCCCACAGTAACCTCTGCAGCTTGTTCTGCATGGATGAGGGATGAGGTTCTGGGCACTGGTCATCAAGGCCAGATCGCAGGGGTGTAGTAATTTACCTTGTTTGAGATTTTAGCGCCGCAGTTACACAAAGGCTCACGATGTCTCTATATACATGTCCTTTGACACGTTGGCTTCAAATTCTTTCTCTCCGTCGCTCTTTGCATAAGCTCACTTCTACCTACATGTCCTTCTTTTCCACCCGGCTGTAGAGTCAGTGACTCTCGCTATCCGCTCTCTACGAAACCCAAATTCACGCTTGGTTCGTGAAGTTTCCTTCTTTTAAAAAACTCATTGACCTCGACTGCCACTCTTTCAGTCCAAAACTTTCCATTCTCCATCATAACAAGCTCCTCCGCTTCTGTGAACCTACTCTTAAAGGGTATCAAATTTTAACTACGTCGAGATGGCACAATCAGCAATCCTCAGTGCCCTTGGCCTGCTCGCCTTGACCGCTTCTCCCGTCGCTGCTTTCTGGCGCTTGCCATGCCAGGCGCCTGTTGTCGTTGAAAGGGCCGATCCGATCATCAATCCTGGAGTCGCATCTCCTCATCTTCATACCATCATGGGCGGAAATGGGTTCGGCTTCAGTATGGATTACGCTCAGACCCAGGCCTCATCGTGTTCTACTTGCACAGTGCAAAAGGATATGTCGAACTACTGGATACCTAATCTCTGGTATGCGGGGGAAAACGGAACCTTCACCAGTGTTCCGCAAGTCGGCGGTGTCCTGGTTTACTATCTGTATGTTACTTCCTTTGGGGGTTTTCGGTTATTTGCTAACTTTGAACCAGACAACGTCCAGGTAATGGAGAAAAGCTCACTGCTTTCCCAGAAGGACTTCGCATGGTTGCTGGTGATTCGATGAAGCGCAGCTTCGGCAACGACAAGGAATCGCGTGCAATCAGCTATGCTTGCTTGAACTTCAACGGCCCAGCAACACCTGAGACCAATGGTTTTCCCACCAGAAAATGCTCCAGTGGCCTTCGTGCCCAGGTCTTCTTTCCGTCATGCTGGGATGGAAAGAACCTCGACTCACCAGATCACAAATCTCACTTGTCTTATCCTGTCAACGATCATGCTTATGGCTCATGCCCACCATCACACCCTGTCCATTTTGTCTCTCTCTTCTACGAGGTCCTATTCAGCACCGATTTGTTCGATGATATGTGGTATGGTGATAAGCAACCCTTTGTGTGGTCGATGGGCGACCCGACTGGCTACGGTCTCCACGGTGACTTCTTCAATGGCTGGGATGTTGCTCATTTGCAGAAAGCCATTGATGAGTGCACCAGCAACAGCGGACGGGTCGAAGATTGTCCTATATTCAAATTGACTACTAACGATGTTGCAAAGGGATGCAGGATCCCACCTTCTATCGACGAGCAGACTAGTGGTACACTGGACGCACTTCCAGGCTGCAACCCTGTACAGGCCGGGCCTGGGAGAGCTGTAGCTCAAACTGACTGCGAAGTGTCCAGTGTCATTGGTAAGCCGCAGGCCTATTTTACCGACCTCACCCAGACGAAGGGATGGTCGTACGTCGGATGTGGCACTGACAGCATATATGCACGCAAGTTTACCGGCGCCAGCACTAGTTCAAGGACCATGACCGTCGAGACTTGTGTTGATTTCTGCTCTGGCAAAGGTTTCTCCGTTGCCGGCACTGAATACGGTAATGAATGCTACTGCGCCAATTCTATTCCGTCCGATGCCGCTCCCGTTCCGGGATACATGGGTAACTGCATGATGCCATGTGCTGGAGACGCGGGTGAGTACTGCGGTGGAGGTGGTACCATCTCATTGTATCAAAAATGTACTGGCAGCTGTCAGAATGTTCAATTCGCTGTTGTTGGCAATTCTACCACCCCGGCAGCCAACTCTGCCCCTTCTGTGATGTCTAACATTGCTGTGACAAGTTCTGCCACATCAAAGGCAGCGTCTTCACAATCGACCGTGCCCGCGACCGCTCAGCCAACAGTAGCGGCTGCGAGTGCTTCTCTATCCAGTATGACAGTACAGACAAATGGATATTACGGCTCTCAATCTGCGTCTTCCTTGCCTGTTATAAGCAAGACTCCCGCCAGCTCTGCAGATGATGGCGAGGCTACGAGCGCACCTGAAGGCGTCATTGCAATTCCTACAGACGCGACATCTGCTGGCGTTTCTCCTACCATTTCTGGCACCGCGGTAACCGAGGCTACAAGCTTCCCCATTCCTTCTTCTGTGCCAAAGACCAATGTCACCTTACCTGATGGCTGGAAAGCCGGCGGCTGCTACGTCGACCCCATCCGCCCTCGACTGTTCAAATTCTGGGCACCCTTCTCCGGCAATGAGATGTCCAGCTCCAAGTGCGTGGCTTACTGCGATGAGCAGGGCTTTCCCTTCGCAGGCACACAGAATGGGGGCCAGTGTTTCTGCTCCGAGGATATTTCTGAGAACGCGGAGCTGAAGGATGAGGAGGAGTGCAGCACCCCGTGCAAGGGCGTCAAGGGCGAGATGTGCGGTGGACCTGGTAGACTCTCTGTCTTCACTAAGCTTGATGACGAGTCAGATGTGGGTAGTAAGAAGAAGAGGCATCTGCATAAACATCGTCGCAGCCATTATGCCGCGGTGTCTTAGGTCAATATTATAGTCTGGAGAAAGGGCTGGGTATAGTGGGAAGGAAGGGAGAGGCCAATGCGAGCATCGAGCTGATGAGGGGAAGAGATGGTATTCTATTCTTGTGCACTCCTGGCTAGAGCACCTTTGATTTTCGATTTTGAACATTCTTGAAGGCGAGGATTGGATCCGATAAGAGCACGGAAATGTTTGTCTTTAACAGGATTGAAAGGCGATATAGAGAGACGAGAGAAAGACATCATGATTATGATCATGATGAATGCATATTGCTTCTGATTCAGGAAAACTGCACCCTCCACCTTCACCTCTTCTTCTCTTAGATGGCCCCCGTGTTCAGATCATTTTTCAAGAACATCAACACCACAGACAGATCAATCGTGCAATAACACCGTACGCTTGTCTTTGTGTGATGAGATGGGGTTGAAGACGAGCTCCGCATAAAGAGCCACCTTACCTTCCTGGCGGCGCCAAACCCTGGAACAGGCTCATAGACGCACCATCAACTAACTTAGTGCTTTCTATTTTCTATCAACCGTCATGTCTCGGGTTTCGCGCTCCAAGTGGCTACTCGCTCTGGTTGGTGGGTGTGTTTGCGGCCGCTCTGAAGGTGGAAAAGCTATGTCCATTGTCAATGGGTTTTTCGCCTGATGAAGGTGTGACGTAGTACATATGTGCTGTGACAGAGAAATGGAGCCTTTATCCGTGCTAAAATTGCAGTGCAGGTAATGCACGAACCCTAAACCGAGAGGGCAATTGGAGGTGTACTTTACCCGCAGCCGGACCCTTACTAGTGTGCATTAGTGTATATTAGCTCTGTATTAGCTTGATATTCCAATTATACAATAAATCTTCCTGATTGATTATGATTAATCACATCAATTTGGATGCAAATATAGTATAAATTATTATGAGCAATCATGAGCAGTCATGATTGATTAAGAGCACCCATGATTAATCAAGAGCAATTATTTTCGACAGAATCTGCATTTAAATAGTTGAGATTGGTACTTGAATAGGATTGATCTCAACAAGTTGTATACAAATGTAGTACAAATTATTATGATCAATCGTGAGCACTCAGAAAGACTTGTTGTACTGTTATTTCTAGTGGTAGTAGTGGCGTGCGCTATCAGGGTCCGGCCGCGGGTAAAGTACACCTCCATATGTTACCTTGATTCGGAATACTAGTAGGGTAAGTTGCATGTGGGCCAAAGTATGCTTGGTGTCTTTATTAGCATGCACGCTTAGGTAAATAGACTCACTGCATGTTGTTCCCTAGCAGTCCTACTACGTACTAACTACTTAGCACAGATCACGATCCTATGGGTTTCAATTATTTGCATACTAAGCAAGATGCAGGAGAGTCACTAGATCCAGCTCAAGTAGCCTAAGGTGGTCAAGATGCAAATGTGAGCAAGGCATTGCTAGTATTCCAGTTGCTGGCACGTGGTAGCGTCTGGTGCATGCAGGGTCCTCCGGTCCTCTAGCCCACAGCAGTGATGTTTTCCTCCTTCCCACTTCCCACTCCATCCATCCCACCGCACCCACCTCCTTTCCATCCTTTTAACTTGAATATGCTTAGGGTTCAAGGGGGAAGAGGTGAGACGTAAGTACGAAGGACCCTTGATGTCTTGCAGAAATGAATCATTCGCTGTCTTACTCTGATGGTCTCACTGCTTCTTAAGTGGTCTGAGTGGACAACAATACTAAGAGGTTGATATTGTTCTCCTTCCCAAATACTATGCCCCATTTCCAAGCGGAGACTGTGGCTGATACTGACGGATGTAAGCTTCTCTCTGCTCCATTGCCACCAGTATCAGAAGGTGTAGAGTCGCGGACAGAAGACAAGATGTCTGAAGAGCCATGATTGTCATCCTCCATCTGCAACCACTCCTTCTCCACTTTCCCTTAAATTCTCCCTCTACTGACAAATCTGTTGCCTTCCTTATTTTTCTCTCTAGAGTACTGTAAAATAAAACCTTGCATCTAGCGGTGTGTGTCTGGTAGTCCTTCACCCAACTCCATCAAACACAATCTCGATCACCAACACCGCTGGAGACTGCTTTCACTGTTCGCCTTCTGCCATTTGCGGTACCCTCAGTGTATAGCTCTGCTTCCACTTCCACTTCCCACTTCACTTCTACTTCTACTTCCACTTACACTTCCACTTCCACTTCCACTTCCACTTCCACTTCTTCGAAATTCAGCATCCACACATCAACTGCCGCCTCTCGCGACAGCCATTCGCCGGCCTGACTCGATCCTCAGAGAAAAGACTGCCTCTGCTACCTCGCACCGCACATCTACCAAAGTCAAGATGGACGTCTGGCCAGAATTTGAGGTTGGTGCGAATTATTCTGTGCCACCAGACTTCGATCCAGTCTCACAGCCGATCTGGTACTTGCTCAAAAATGGCACTGTCGACTATCCCTTCAATTTCGACCGAATCGACCGCGAGCTGTTCTATTCCACGCAGTGGAGCGTTGTCCACGGTTGTACTATCGGAGCCGCAGTGATGACCTTGCTACATGTTCTCGCTCTCACCCCACTCACAAAACGTCGCACACTGATCTTCTGGCTCAATGTTGTTGGTCTCGGCCAGGTTATTGCTAGAGGTGTTGTTGCCTCGCTCTACTTCACCCGAGACAGATTCGAAACCTTCTATGTTGTCCTTGCCGGTGACTCGGCGAGCGTGCCTCCTCTACATCGCTTTCATTCAACCCTATCCGTGATTCTCAGCCTTACGATGATCGCCACTGTTGAGGTCATTTTCTTCGTTCAAGGCCGGGCGATCCTATCATCGTTGCCGCGGCCGATGTACTTTGTCCTCCTCACAGCCTTGATCTTGTTCGGTGTGGTAGCGATGACCGCGCGGCTCATCTATGCAGTCTACAACATCCAGGATATCTGGGTCTGGAATCGCGTCCAACGAGATATCTCTCCAATCCCTCACTGGGTTGAACCAGCTAGTGGGTTATGATATTTTGTGTTCCTTTACGTAGATACTGATAAGTTTCTCAGCGCTGGGATGCTACGTCGTCACCATCGGCTCATGGTCGTTTGTCTGGACCTGTTTCATAGGAAGACAGATATTCCTCCGCTGGAGAATGAACATCATGCGTGGTAAAAGCTTTGGCGCCATGAACGTTCTGTTCCTTGCTGGGATCCAGTCTATGATTCTGCCGAGTGGGTACAAGTCCTTGGTTGTCAGTTGTCTTCGGCCCAACCACTAACATCTCCAGTCTTCTTTCTGATCATGCAGTTCGTACCGGAACAACACAGTTTCATCGGTGCCGCGTATATTGTGATTCCATCCGTCCTCTGCTTGATGCCCTTCTCATGCCTCTGGGCTGGAACAATCTCATCAGCAAACGGACAAGGGTGCGATGAGACAAATCGTACACCACACTCCCTTGGTCTCTCTTCGAAACTCCCGTTTGCAAAGATTTCGTCTTCGGCAAAATCCCATTCGACGAACAATACCACTAGAAATCTCAGCCGAGCCTCCGCGACCAGCCAGCACCGGCGTGTCAAGCCCGTGAAGTCTGCGCGACCGACAACCAACAATCACGTGGACAAACTCTATCCCGAACTGCGAGACGATGATCAAATCGCTGTCACACAAACCTACACCGTACACACAGATGGCTCAAGTCGCAATGACTCTGCTGTCTGAGAAAGAGGCGGCAGGGAAGTCGTTGATAAGGCAGAGCATTGGGTGAGAGCAGAAAGGAGGAAATGATACTTCTTCCTCTCATAGCTTGATACGTGCTCCGGGCTCACACGTACAGAGAGTCACAGGCAGTTCAGATAGAGCACACAGCAAACGTGAATATGGCGTAGCAGCGTTCCCACAAATCAAGAATTGCATTTGCACAAATCCACTCTATCAGTCGCTTTTATCCATTCCACTTCATCGTCGCCAGGCATAAAGGGGCCTGCCAGCGTTGGGTCTTCTTCTGTGGAAGGGTGATTGAAGTGGTTGCCGTAGGCATTCTGCCCATCCTTTACGCCTATTCCATCACATAATAAGTGCAAGATGATGGGGTGTTTTGTAGCCAGACTGCAAGTTGTTTTTTGGCCTGGGTGATTCGGCTAACCAATGTAGTAATTTGACTTCGGTTACAACCGACCGACAAGTAGGAGGTGGGGAGGGGAAGGGGTGGAAAGGATGAAGCTTTACTATTGACTATTCAATCTCTGGATTACCTGCCCGGGGCTGTTCTGTCCTGCCCTGTCTGGCTTCCGTGGCTAGATAGGTGGTGTGGTTGTGGCTATCTAGTCTGAACGTTGGGCCGCCTCGGCAGTTTTCTCGTTCTAGTCATGCTGCTTACCGTGCATGCTGAGGGCTGCGGGCTGTCCATGCTGTATGCTGTGTTGTTTGGGGGGTCCAATTCTGAGGAAGGTCAATGGCTGCACCTGCAACGAAGTCTGAATCTGAGAAAGCTGAATTTGAGATATTGCCAATCGATAGTAAAAATACCGAGAATGATGGTATGATTACGCATAGAGCAAGAGAAGAGATGCGAGGTATCCTTAAGGGGTTTTTTATCCTCTTATATTGTGGTGAGGTGCTTCTGTCAAGAGGGGAATCGGGAAAGAAGTAAGTTGAAGCTTGGGAGCTACTGATGGATGATCGAGGAGGAAGGCTTGAGGTTGTTCGGGTACAGGAGGTCCAAAACTATTTCACAGTCCAGATTGAGGCATTAATTGAAGATTGAAATAGGTGGATACTGGGCCGCTAGAGAACATACCAAAAACCTACCAAGAGTTACCAAGTAGCAAGATCTGATGCACAACCAGCGTGTCCACTGTCGCACTTGAAAGCAGCATACTTTCAATCTCTCCATACTTCAAATGTCATCCGGGAAAGTCCTTCGTGAGTGTCGTCTACTCCCTTCCTCTTAGGATATGGGCTTAGAGAACTTCGAACCGTGAAACTCAACCTGAGATCCGTGCCTACTGATTCCCAAAGTCGCTTCCAGCTCCTCTCGTCGTGTCTGTACATTGAATCGGAGCGCCGCCCTGGCCGACTTGGTACTTCCCCGGATTCCTGATGAGCGATCTGGCTTCCAAGTATGAGGCTTCCCATCCGTGGTCGCAACAATTTCACCACTCGCTTTGCTGCTTTCACCTGATCGTCCCAAGTGAAGAGGTGGAAAAATAAATTGGCGTGGATGATATCTACTTTCTTGTCAAATTCTTTTAATCGTGATGATTCGTCAAATATATCCGCCGGCGCCACGAAATGCGTGCGAGGCAGCTTCTCCTCGTCGCGGAAAAGATCATATCCAATATCCACAAATTCTGCAAGTAAGTCGGCTCCGTACACGCAATCAACCGGCACACCATCAAAGATCAGCTTTCGTACGTCTTGGCCAAGACACGTACCGAGATCGAGGAACGTCCGAGGGGAATCGAGTGATGTGGCGTCTTTTGTGTCCTTGTCTCCACAAAGCAATGGTAACACATGCACGTCATACAGAGGATGGGTGCTAAGTGCCAGACCCAAGAATCGATACAGACCTAGGCAAGGGTACTGATATTGTTGATAGGCTTTGTCTCGAAGTCTCTGTACATGTCGAACCTGTTCTTCTCCGGTAGGAATACCGCTGTACTTGTCGAGAAGCTCTTGCATCTTGTTCGGAATGATGGGCACGTCTTCGTCGAAAAAGCGTGCATTGTCATCCTGATATCCAGATTGGTTGTTGAGCAACTCTGCCGAGGGAGACTGTGTTGCCATGGTATATGAGGTGGGATTCTTCACTCAAGCAAACATCGGTGGACCATTCCAAGCACAATCTGGGCCTCTCTATGGGCGATTTGGCCTGAAAGATCAGTCCTCCTTGCTTGTGTCATCCAAGAGACCCATCGGCAGAAGCAGCCCGCCGATCCCGACCTCCAAGGAAATCTCATTTCCTACGTAGTTAGTACAGCCACTTCCTCATGCCATCACCACGAGACTCTCGGAATTCCATAGTTACACAACACATGATTAATTGGCCACGCCGTCATCGCACTGTCTCACTCACAATTGAGGTACAACCAGTATTAACAACCTACCCTTCTTCTCGACCAAAGCTTCTGTCGAAATATAGAAGCGCTCATTGGTTGGAGTTCCTGCACGAAGCCCTGCGTTTCGCCTGCTTTTGATTGGTCAATTTCTCCTGCATTTCGCTGTACCGTAAGCTACAGCTGATTTATACGTACTATGTATATCTACGCACGCTACCCTCTTGATTAGATAGATCAACTCGCTTACTACGCACTTCCTGCAGACTGTTACAGCTCATTTCCATGGTTCTTGGACAAGAGGCACATAGTTCAAACACTATGACCATGGCCACTTGGCTTCTGAGCTATGGTTCGCCCTGGCCGTCGAGTTCTGGTGTTGGTGAACGCTGCTACTCTACTTGGCCAGTTGCATTTACCCTAACTAGTCACTAATCAGAGCATGACCTGCATGTCAACCGCACAGCAGCAAGTACTCTGGGCAACGGCTTCAAGCCACACGTACACCGCTGTACCTACTTCTACTCAACAGCTTTCAAAGCTTTGTGGAGGAGAGTAACCTCTACGCAGCATCAAGGATCCCTTCATTGCACAATTGTCGGCTGTCTCTTGTTGTGGTCCACATTGGCGTCATCCAAATTCCGTAGCGGTACGATCTCTGGGGCTTTTCTGACCCATCCTATTCGATCTTAGCTTGAATGCAACACGCACAATCAGGACACACGTAGCTCTCAAAGTTGGCAGACATACAGCGGAATAGCCTTTCAGTTGGATACTCATTTCCCCTCTGTCTCTACACCTACCTTGCGTTCATGCTCATGCAATGCAGAGCCGGTTGCTCGGTGATGCAGCTATCTACTCAATGCGATGTTCCGAATGCCACCGCATGATTATGAGGAAAAGAGGGTAAGTTACATTGAGAGGAGGTAGCTCTATTGTTTCCCTTTGGATCCTATCTTTCTCTAAATGTTTCCTTCTGTAAAGATTTCTTATTTTTCAAATCAAGTACGACAATGAGGCCGTCCGAGAACCTATCTTTATCTGCGGCTCTACTGCTGCTGACCGCTTTCCAAGTTCTTGCGAGAATGTCGCAGACGGCCACAAATGGGAAGTCTCTACTGGGTGATCTTTCTGAGCCTTTGCTTGCCGAGTACCTCACCGACACTCCCCTTCCAGACGGCTTCCCGTGGGGAAAGGCCACGGCTTTTGACACGAATTACTATACCTCTTCTCCTGATACAGGTCATATCCCTATCGTATTGTAGGCAACGCACACTGATCTGCCCAAGGTGTCACGAGAAAATATGACTGGATCGTTTCGAGGGCCACTTTTGCACCTGATGGCTTCAGAAAACCGATGATTGTTGTGAATGGGGCTTTTCCTGGGGTGCGTTCGAGCGAGAACAAGGCAATAATATTGCTGATCATGCTGGTAGCCTCTCGTCGAAGCCAACTGGGGTGATATGATCGAAATCACTGTCCACAACGACATTCGCGACCCAGCCGAGGGTACGTCCTTCCATTGGCATGGTTTCCCCCAGCAGAACACTCAATGGAATGATGGCGTTCCGGCGTTTACCCAATGTCCAATTTCTCCTGGTGGAAGCCTTACATACACGTTCAAGGCCGAGCTTTATGGCACAAGCTGGTGGCATGCACATCACTCTGCTCAGTATACGGCAGGGCTCTTGGGGCCAGTTGTCATTCATGGACCGCAGAACGTGCCGTATGATATTGACATTGGCCCTGTACTTCTCTCAGATTGGTACCATCAAGAGTACCACGCACTCGTAAGGTCGTTGGTAGAGCCACGTCCAGACCCTCCAATCCTAACCAGTGATAACAACCTTATCAATGGCAAAATGAATTTCGACTGCTCAAAGCTAAACTCGAGTACCTATGTCAGCGGCGCAGACTGCACGAACGACGCAGGATATTCAGAATTTATTTTCGAGGCCGGCAAGTCACACCGTCTACGCCTCGTTAACACTGGAGCGGATGGTGCGCAGCAGTTCTCGATTGACGACCACGAGATGACGGTCATAGCCAACGACTTTGTGCCAATTGAACCTTATGACACTAACGTTGTGACTATTGGGATTGGTCAACGAACCGATGTCGTTGTGAAAGCGGGTGGCGATCCTGGCAAGTCTTACTGGATGCGATCAATCATTACCTGCTCCAATACCAATCAGCCTGAGGCACTAGCCATCATTTACTATGATAGGGCGACTAATGGCTCTTTGCCTAGCACCACTGCTCAACGCTACGGCAATGCTGGATGTGCAAACGATGATTTGACACAGACAGTACCTTCGTACCCTATCGCCATCGAAGAACCAGAGACGACACAGACAGTAACCATGACCGTGTCACAGAATGAAACAGGCAGTTGGCTCTGGTATATGAACGATAACTCGTTTTTCGGGGACACAAGCAGGTCCATGCTGTTGTTGGCGAAAGAGGGCAACATTTCATTCACAGAGTTCGAACCGCTAATATATAACATGGGGTCTAACTCCTCCTTTCGATTTATCGGTAAGTTGGAGGACTCCTCATCGTTGCATGCCCAGGGCGCTCATCTAGCTACAGTTAACAATGAGTCCCCAATATGGCATCCTATGCATATGCATGGTCACAACATGTTTGTATTAGTTAGTTACAGCTTCAATGTAGCTCCTTGAGCTGACGGTGTAATGCATCACTGACTTCCTTGCAGGCGGAAGGCGATGGCACCTGGGACGGAAGAATTGTGCGTCCTTCCAATCCCCAGCGACGAGATACGCAGCAGGTCCGCCCAAACGGGTACATGGTATGGCAAGTCGATGCAGATAATCCCGGGGCATGGCCATTCCACTGCCACATTGCCTGGCATTTGTCATTGGGCATGGCATTTGGTATCCTTGAACGGCCCGATGACATACAAAAACTCCCCATACCGGAGAATAGATACCAACAATGCCAGGAATGGAATTCATGGACGGCTAGCACATTACCACAGATTGATAGCGGTGTATGATTGATGATTGCCAGATGAGGGAAAAGGTAAGGCGTCAAGGGATTTTCCATGCTTAGTAGAGTCTAATGCTATATTGCATGGCGGTTAGGTTGGCGGCTTCGGTCGGCGAAACTGCGCTGCAGAAGGCGATCATAAGCAAGTCATAATAGAACCTTTTACTACGTACACAGCACATGGAACAAATGCTCCATTGCATGATTACTGGCACGTGCTTGTGAACCTACCTTCCGTCATACATAAGCATTTCCGGCTTGGCATCCGGCTAGTTGGCCGACTCGGAGTGCAGTCTGACAACCTCGGCACTTGAATTTCAATATTTGGTCAGTTTCCGCCATCTTCCCCACACTTTCGTCAACACTTATGCTTCTCGACAGCGCGGCCTGATTCTCAGTAGTCAGCATCTTCTTTAACCTCAAATACGCATACTAAGTTCTGTGTTCAACTTGAGCCATGGCCACGGAGAGGCTCAGCTCGATACTTTCACATCTGTCTCCGGGCAAGAGTGCAATCTCTACCATGTATGCATGCATATGTCTTACAGTTTCCCCGGAAGCTAATGCATTAGCGACGCAGCACGCAGAAGAACCCCGATGATGTTGTGATAACGATGGCCATCCGGACACCCCTGACTAAAGCCTTCAAAGGAGGATTCAAAGACACGGGTCTCGATTACATGGTCTATGCCCTGCTTAAAAAGGTGGCTGAGGAATCAAAGCTGGATCTCTCAGTCGTAGAAGATATCTGCCTCGGCAATGTGGGAGACCGCAGTTCTACCGTGTTTGTTAATGTATCTGTTGACAAGGACGACAGGTCTCTGATAGCAGGTCCGCTTATATTGTCCGCGCCGCCATGCTCGCCGCTGGCTTTCCACACACAGCTGGGGCCTCTTCCGTCAATCGATTCTGCTCTTCGGGGCTCAAGGCTGTTCAAGATATTGCAAATGAGATTAGCGTGGGAAGCATAGAATGTGGTGTAGCGATTGGAGCGGAGTCAATGACAACCGGTGGTAAGCTCTGCTACAGATGTTGTCTAGGGTCTGCTAATCCATGCAAGGTGACCGGCTGGCCACACCCTTCCACGAAGCTATTCTTCAGAACCAAGAAGCAGCAGACTGCATGCAACCCATGGGACAGACATCCGAAAATGTCGCAAACGACTTTAACATCTCAAGAGAGGATATGGACAGATACGCCAACGAGTGTTTTAGAAGAGCAGAGGTTGCTCAAAAAGCGGGGTGGTTTGATGATGAGATCGTGCCAATTACTACGAAAGTCAAGGACCCGAAGTCAGGCGAAATGAAGGAGGTCATTCTTACAAGGGATGAGGGGCCAAGATATGGTACGACCGTGGAATCTTTAGGCAAGATCAAGCCTGCTTTCCCGGACTTTGGCAACAAGACCACTGGCGGGAATGCCAGTCAAGTCACCGACGGTGGTATGCATACCTGCACTCTGGGGCGCAAATTTGTGACTAATCGTTTGCAGCTGCCGCCGTTGTCCTCATGAAACGATCGAAAGCCATTGCGTTAGGCCAGCCCATCATGGCAAAGTTCTGCGGCGCTACCGTAGCCGGCGTACCTCCAAGGATTATGGGTTGGTATTCCCTGTTTAACACATTGTCAACATTCACTGTTGAACTTACTAATTCCGATTTCAGGTATTGGCCCATCTGTGGCTATCCCTAAATTGCTCAGCCAGTTTCAGTTGACCAAAGACGACATCGACATCATTGAGATCAATGAAGCATTCGCATCAATGGCAGTATATTGTCTGAATGTACTGGGGCTGGATCACAAAAAAGTCAACCCAAGGGGTGGTGCTATCGCTCTGGGTCATCCGTTGGGTGCAACCGGTGCTCGGCAGATATGTACCATTCTGAGCGAGGCACGGAGGACGAAGAAAAAGATATGTTTGACCAGCATGTGCATCGGAACGGGACAGGGCATGGCGGGTTTATTTGTGAACGAGCAAGTCTGATCGTTCTTAGGTCATTCTATCCGTGTATCATATCCATAGCAGCAATCTTTTCGAAGAAAAGATACTCAGTATCCTAAAGAGAATGCCCACAGAAGGCAAATAGTCCGTCTAGCTCTGAAAGTGTTGTACGGTGCTACTATTGCATCTTGGCGTCTCAGGGGGTGGCGGAAGCCAGTTTGAGGGGGTTTTGGGGTACGGGGTAATGGGGGTATGGGGGTTTGGAGATGGAAATTGAGGAGTCAGTATGGTCCGGAGGTCCAAGCTTCTAGCCTTGGCAATTCCCCACATGAACTTGTGAGCTCAATAATTCACTGTCCGCCGAATAGCTGGTGAGAATACTGAACATGCTATTGTTCCATGGGATAAGACCGGTTTAATATCGCTATTCAAACACAGTGACTATTTATTCATCTACACAGTGTCCAAGCCTTACAGTCCTTCTCCATCACCTGGATACCTGACTCATAAATCCTGACTGCACTCACAGTCAACATCAAATTCGACTTCAACCTGACCTCAAAACCTGTCGCAATCGGCTCCCGAAACCTACCTGCTACTGCCTTATCTTCTTTCAGCACCTCTTTGAATATAAACTCTCTGGTATCGTTCTTGTGACCCTCTACCATGTCTACTGCCGAGGTCGCAAACCCAGTTGATAGCAATTCCCAGTCAGCTCAAGATGTCCAGGATATGCTTGCGGAGCTGAAGGAAAGTCGCCAGACGGGAACGGCCACTGACCCTACTGCCGTCGATAATGACGAGGTTGCGCAAGCTAGCAACAATGAGGAAAGCGTTGATGAATCAAAGTCGAAAATGTTGGCTGAAGAAAACGGCGTTGATAATCCAGAGAACAAAAAGAACGGCGAAGCTGAAGAAGTGAAGAAAGATGAAGGCATTGGAGGCGAAAATGGAGAAGGTTCACACGGGCATCGACCACACCAGGGAGGATATAAAGGCCGTGGGGGCGCTAGAGATCGTGGTGACTTCAAATCTTACAAGCAGAACATCAAGTCAGATCTTGTTGCTCAGGAAGAGACTGATGATCCTGTACAGATACGAAAACAGGTAGGGCTTCTCCTGCTGTGGTCGCACTGTCGAGGACTGACTCATAATGCTTTCAGGTTGAATTTTACTTCTCCGACTCCAACCTCCCTATGGACAGATTTCTTCTCTCACAAGTTGGCGGTAGCAAAAATTTCTCGGTTGATCTCAAAATTATTCACTCGTTCAAGCGCATGCGGCATTTTCAGCCCTTCTCCGCCATCGTTGCTGCTCTAAAAGAATCCACATTTCTCGAACTGACAGACGACGACACCAAGGTCAAGCGCAAAGAACCATTGCCAGAAACAATTGATCCTGAGAAAATGGACCCAGACGCGATCAAGGTCTTCGAGGACCGTGCCATGCCTCGAAGTGTGTATGTAAAAGGTTTCGGCGAAGAAGATGTCAAGACGCAATTCGATATTGAAGCTTTCTTTGCACCTTACGGCCCATACAACGCCATTCGACTTCGAAGAGCAAATGACAAGGTGTTCAAAGGCAGTGTTTTTGTGGAGTTCGATTCGGAAGAGACCCAGAAGAAGTTTCTCGACCTGGACCCAAAACCCCAATACAAGGGTAATGCTCTTCAAATCATGAGCAAGAAAGAATACTGCGAGAAGAAAGTAGACGACATCAAATCAGGAAAGGTCAAACCGAGTGGACAACCGTACCGTGGCAGGGGCGGCCACCAAAATAAACGAAAGCGAGACGACGAAGACGACCGAGATTGGCGAGAGAGGAGAGAAGACGATCGGAAAAATGGCTTCAGGGATTCGCGAAGAGGCGGGCGTGGTGGGCGTGGTAGGGACTCGAGGCGTGATCAAGGGACAGAGGTTCGGAGAGATGCTCGGTAAGCAGTTCTCTGGATTTGGACGGTCGTTTAATGCTAATAATTCACAGCGGTGTCCCGATCGTCGAAAGCACCGAAGAGCCCCCTAAAGATGAAAACAACGCCCGAGCCAAACGCGAAGCTGCTACAGCCGATGCCCTCGCGAAAGCCAAAGCCATGGTCGAGGCTGAGAATGCGAAGAAGAAGGAGCCTGAACCTGAAGGCAAGCAAGATGATGATGCTACAGACAAAGCCACACAGAAGGAAGCAGAAGCCAAAGTTAACACAGAGGTGCCTGGTGCAACAGCTGACGGGACGGCAGAGAAGCCAGAACTCCCTCCTAGCAAAAAACGTGGTAGAGATGAGGCTGGAGATGAGGATGGTCTGCCAGAAGCAAAGAAGGTGGATAGTAAGGTGGAGGGGATGGATAAGCAGGAGAATACGGACTCATGAGCTTCGGAGTTTTGCTGTGCAACACTGATGAGTAGAGGAGCACACCAGGCATGCTACACTTATACAGCGTCAGCGACCTTCGCGGTACCCTGATATCAACAATGCTAATGCCCCGAATTTGTCCACTGCAGATCCAAATACAAAAAACATCACCCTCTGCAACAACCTTTCTAGAACTACACATCTTCGGTTTCTTACACATTTCACGTTGTTGGCGAGTCATGTCCGCACCAATCCAATCTCCTACCCATGCTTTACTTGTCACTAAAGATCGAGTTCTCAAGGCTTGCCAATCCGACAGCACATCAGCTTGTCTCCCTCCCCGAACGTGCCTCTTCTCCCCGATTGGCGATTGGTCCGAAAATGATGTGCACCGAGCTCAAGCCAACAGTATTCACGCCCCGCAAACACGTAGTAAAGTCTAGGAAATATCATTCCGATCCTACCACCTCTGGTGATGTTGGAGCCTGCGGACTCTCACCACGACATCATCAAAGCAGAAGTAAAAAGCCCACCGTGCGGTTGTTGAAAATGTATCCTTGTGACAAAAGCCATGGCTTCGATCATGGCTTCTATTCCCGTCGAGGAAGCCATCGAAATACGACCACCTTGAAGATAATCTGATTTCTTGTTAACTTGGAGTAGTGGATACGCATTGTTATCGGAACACTTGCATACCGCCCCCCCCCCTTCTCTCTCTCTCTCAAGCATGCCCGTCCCAAGCTTCTCAAGAACCCCTTGACGAAGCACTCCACTGACTTTTTTCGGACCTGTGTAGCCAGCTCAGGGAAACTCGCAGTCGTGCTTCCGAGACCGGCACCGAGGGTTCTCTTTTGTTAAGGGTAGTTGAAGAACAGGGGCTTCGTCTATATGGGTGGACATGCCGAACCCGACAAATACAGGTCAGCTTTGGTGGAACTCGGAGACGAGACGGATCAACCGTGCTGAAGGCGCACTGGGGGTTCGAGAGTTGATTGGGACTGTGCAGCATCGAGCGAGTAAGGTGGTGGGCAAGCAAGCAAGCAAGCAAACAAACCCAACGTTACAAGTTACGCCAGCGCTCTCTAGCGCCCTCATGTCTCCGTATGGGGTTCGATATCAAGGCTGGGACTGTAACTGGAACGCTGCCGCAAGGGGCACGCTATGGATTGAGAAGAAAGGTGTCCAGCCGGTGGAATCTATCAAAGGAGCTGGGTTGCATATCATGATGGATTCCCAATCCCCGGCACTGAAGCTATCAACCAACCAGCTTACTTTGGTCATACAAAATTCTCATCTCACCCGTGTCTTCTCTCTTTCAACAGGAGGCTAGCAATGATATGATTAGATCTGTCATACTAACTCATCGTAAAACCTATGCCAACTAGCTCAAAGTAATAGATGGTAGAAGAGCTCGCTCGCGTGGTTGAAAAACAATTTCATTGAAGAATAATGAAATAAAATCAACAAGATTGACGGCGCTAGCAGCATCAGTTATTTACCCTTGGTCTGCCGGGCGCCGGATGGGATATATAACAACAGGCTGTACGCATTCTACACTGAAGAATCCTCTCTCCGAAATTATTACTCAAGGCAACCAGTTCAGAAAGCGTGGGCTAAATGCGGCTGAACTCGCGGCCAACTCGAACCCAAGGGAACGTTTCCTCCGGCTAGTCAGCGATTATCTCTGTCAATTGATAGTACCAAACCCCTCACGGTAGCTCGTATCCCGGCGTACCTGGTATCACTGCTGCATTGCGAATCGAGAACGGGTCGAGCTTCGGTGGTTCAGGGGCACGGTTGACAGTGGGCTCTGATTGCAGCTCTGGTTTCATGTAGTATTCAGCCTTCTTCCGCGCCCTGGCTGGGGACGTTAGAGGGGTACGGCGCGGCGAAGACGGTGCGAAAAATATAAGATAAGAGCGGCAATAGTGAGAGCCGCCGGCAGCCCCACATGCAATGGCTGCTACGTTGCTGCCCCTGGCGTTGTTGGGTCCTGTATAGCTGCTCCTTGTATTGTTATCATCACATGGTTTTGGCATCCAGGGAAGGATCTGTGGACGCTGCTATCTACAGCCGATATGACCAGTGACCTTGCATTTCCTGAACTTCTTAAGTTTGCGAGCTTTCGCGACGCACCTATGCCGGTGAACCAGCCTGCACAGCCGAGTCATTCCACCTGCTTGGATATGGTCCACTCTGATCGTACCAAATCTTGACGCTCTCGGGAGTTCTACAAGATCCTGCCGACGGGTCGTAATGGTCTTTCCACGCTAAATCTGTAAGGCCGAAAATGGCGATACCTTGTGGCCACGGATCTAGCCAGGTGGTGATATTAGCAATAGTCCTATCATACCCTCCAACCACGGTCATCTGTCAGGTCGCAGGATCGCGAGTATTACAGGTGCCATGGCTTCGAGCCTGTAAAGATCGGTAGGATGTAGTTTTCCAGTGGAAAGCAGGTCGAGAGAGGACGTAGAGTGCATCAAGTCCGGTGTCTCTTTGTAGGGGTTTCTCAAAGTGACATAAACGCTAGCGGCTCTAATGACCAATGATATTACAACAGAAAGGTGGATATCAGCCTTGCGTGTACGTGTACACGCGCGTGTGTGACCGGGATCCGGGCCGAGGCCCAGAGACAGAATTGATGGCCGTCTTGGCATCATTCTCAGCTTTGTTAAATTCGACATACTTACGGAGTACTTTCTATGCGAACACCGTACAAGTAAGTCCTTCAACTTGAACTACCAAGCAGTGGATCCAACCTTTCTATCTAGGAATCGCCTCATCCTCTCAGGCATACCAGAATGCACTAATTAGTTAACTTAGTAGTAACTTGCGTTGCATTACCACTTGTTAGCAAAGTCGAACAACTGATGGAGGACGGAGGAGAGGGAAATGCCAAGACGGCCACTAATTCTGCTAACTATCGTGCCGCGGCGTTAGCGAGCTACTAGTAGAGCGATCAGGGCGGATGTTTGTCTAGTTTTTAATACAACCCACTTGCCCCCGCACTAATAAGAGTCCGGCTGCGGGTAAAGTACACCTCCGTGTGGTACCTTCCCCGCACTCCAAGAAATTTTTGGTCCTCACGCTGGGGAAAAGAAAATTTGTCGCAATTCTTGCGGCGAGTTATTCATATCATCAACCCACCAAATTCCCTTGCTGACCGCTCCATCGCCTGCAAAAGATCTCCCATCTCATTTTGACAAGATGGCAAAGGGAAAAGTCTGCTTAGTAAGTGACCGTCTAGCGACAACCCGCAGAATGTCTCTCTAACAGTATCTAGGCTTACAGCGGTCAGATTCGAGTCTGAAAGTCCGTTAGAGAGTCAATTGCTGATTCCAGTACACAGGTGGTCTGGACACGAGCTGTATCCTGAGGTGGCTGCTTGGTAAGACCCTCACAACCCTGGAATCTTTGCAGTGTAAAATTAAGGACTGATAATTGTACGATAGACGAGGGATATGAGGTCGTTTGCTTCCTTGCGAACGTTGGACAAGAAGAGGATTGGGGTGCGGTGGAGAAGAAGGCACTCAAGATTGGGGCCAAAAAAATGGTGATTGAAGATTTACAGAAAGAGTTTGTGGAAGATTTGTGCTTTAGGGCTGTGCAGTGCAATGCTCAGGTGCGTGCAAACTCATACTTGGCCTGCATCTAGGACACAGAGACTGATTTGGAATTACAGTACGAAGGACGTTACCTCCTTGGCACGTCGCTTGCACGTCCTGTGATCGCGCGATCTCTCATGCGGGTGGCACAGCGTGAAGGCTGCGACTGCGTGAGCCATGGTGCAACCGGTAAGGGCAACGATCAAATTCGCTTCGAGCTCGCTTTCTACGCGATCCAGCCCTCCATCAAGATCATCGCTCCATGGAGAGAGAGCAAATTCTTCAACAGATTCCAGGGCCGCAACGATCTGCTCGACTATGCTGCAGAAACAGGTCTTCCAGTTACATCCACTAAAGCGAAGCCGTGGTCAATTGATGCCAATCTTGCCCACTGCAGCTATGAAGCCGGCATTTTGGAAGACCCGAATCAGGAACCCCCAAATGACATGTGGATCATGACCGACGACCCTGTGAAAGCTCCTAACGAGCCTACCAACATCACAATCAGTTTCGAAAAGGGGATTCCGACCAAGCTCGTCACGCCACAGGAGACGTTCACGGATTCCGTACAGCTTTTCAAGGAGCTCAATCGTATTGGAAAAGTCCATGGTACGTAAGGCAGATGTTAAGATATCCGATCACTCTTCAAGGTTCCCTTTTCTAAGACTATGTCCCAGCCCTACCGTTGCTTTCTTACTTTCGAAACTGCTTTTGAATCATGACTAACATTTATGCCTGTGATCTAGGTATCGGCAGAATTGACATTGTTGAGAATAGGTTCATCGGCTTGAAGTCTCGTGGATGTTACGATGTAAGTCATTTCGAATTCTTTCATCGTGGGTTTACTGTGCTGTTATGCATGATTTCCAAGGTAAATCAAGGGTGTGTGAGAGAATCTTGAGCTCCGGTTATTGTGGTCTCATGAAGAAATTCTTTTATTCCAACTAGTCTTGCCAAGTTGACTATCTGTCTCTTTCGCACGGCAAATTTTTGGATTTAGGCAACGTCTTTCAACTAATGCATTCATAGTCCCCAGCTATGACCATTCTTCGACTCGCTCACCTCGACCTTGAGGGATTGGTTCTCGATGCGCAAGTTAGGGCTCTTCGGGATCAGGTGAGTCCGGCATCGTTCCTAACGGTGTCTTCACCATGGCAGCTGATGCTTGAACCTAGTTCGTCACACATAACTGGAGTACTTTTCGTAAGTCATGACATCCGCGCTGTAGTCAGACCACTAACCCTGTCTACAGTGTACAATGGCATGTGTACGTAAAGTATACCTTTCATTTGTCTCCCACCCTAGGCGCTTTCTTTCCGCTTTCAGCCCATACTAATGTTTCTACCTCTACCTCAAGACTTCTCTCCCGAACGTGCATTTGTGGAAAACTCTTTAATCTTCAGCCAAAAGAGCGTGAACGGTGAGGTCCGGTTGAGCTGCTACAAGGGAGCTGCATATGTCCTTGGTCGTATCAGCAGCACCGAGAAGCTGTATTCCGAGCAAGAGGCGTCAATGGATTCGTTGGAGAATTTCAGTCCCGAGGAGACGACAGGGTTTATCAAAATCCAGTCCATCAGGTTGAAGAAGTATTCGGAAGAATGGGCAGAGCGACAGTGAAGTGCTTCCCGGTCAAAGGTTCTTATATTCATGCTGTAAGACTCTAATTAGAAGACCAAGATATTACAGCTGAATAACCTCGGGATCAAGACAGCTTCATCTGCACTTCACTTCGATGCCTCCATAGTGCTTGATTTCAGATATACTGCTTCCAAAGAGTGCGCGCTCCAGAATTTCGGCGAGTGAGTGGCTTAATAGTCTTCATCCACTTAGTTAATAACATATCCCAAGCAACAGTTGTCGAGGAAGCCTAAGTAGTGATTGTGACTGTCCTCGGGCCACATCATACATGCTCGGAACATCCTCCTGAACACGGTCTTACCCTGCCGTCATGTCTGAGCTGATCCTAGCCCCATGATTCAAAACCTACACCACCTTTTTCTCCCTCAGCCTAGCTATCCTGCTGTGTACCGCCCCCACACTTCGAGGATAGCCGAAGCGCTTCTCGAACTGCGTAGACATGTCCACTACCGTAGCCTCCCCTTCCTTCCGTTTGTCTTCTCCTCCTCCTCCTCCTCCTCCACCATAAGCCAGTTTGTCTCTTCTTGCGTCCATGACCTTGAACCGAGTGGGGCCGCGTACGCTGACTGATCTTGGTGATTTCTTCGAACCTTGCTTTAATAGCTGCCGGGTTTCGAATAACTCCAGACTTTTGCCGCAGCTTCTTGGCCGTTTGCTCCTAGGAACATATTTTGGTTACTGCGCTCGTTGAGCAATTGGTCTTCTTCTTTCTTCCACCTTGGACCAAATGAGTGGTCTTGGAACGAAATTTGAAGTAGCACGAACGTTTCACTACTGCTAGTTGCCCAATTCTAGCCTCTCTGCATCGGGCGTGTTTGGATCCACGGCTCTCTGAAATCCATATCATCTTCTGAGGTCTTCACCTGTTCTGTTCGAGTTGGACTTCTTGTTGAAAGGATTCACCATGTTTTTCCAACGTTGAAACACGGTGTTCAGCCATCACAGCCTGGCGCCTGGCTCCGACTGTGATGCTAAGACTAGCACTAGTAGGAATTGCGCTTGTACGCTGATTGAGGCACACATCCGCCAATGCATCCGAGTAGCTCACAACTTCAAGGCGATATTCATCGCTAGGCCAGACATAGCCATCACTTGAGTCTTGGTGACCATGATGCTCTGACAGGTTTTCAGCATCCCGCTGGCGATAGCGGTGATAGTCACGGCTCAATGCCTAGATCTATTGCTGATGTGCCAGCCTCTCGAGACCATCAGATGGCGCTCGACTGTTAGACGCGCTGTCAGATGCGGTGCGCGAAGTGCTGGGGCACAAGCTTCGCCACCTTCTCTTGCTGCAACCGGAGCAGTTATGGGCGCAGACACGTCTGGGCGACTTTGGCATGGACTCTATGTTAGCAACTCCATGTTAGCAGCCGAGTTCCGCACGTCCCTACTCCATGCTCTCGGTATGGACGTTCCGTTTCAGTCGCTCCTAGGGAATGACACGACGGTGGCACAGTTAACTCAGATGGTTGCCTAACGGCTGTGGTTTGGCGAGGAGGAAGCTGTAACGGTTTAAAGATTAGCGGGAGTCGAATCAGACACTAGCTGGTGCAGCGATTGAGAGGGGCTGCTGATGAAGCTTCCTTTGTGGTGGGAATCAAGGTGGTATATGACATGCAATATCCACGATGAATTGGTGATTGGGGACTCCATTTTGGCGTTATAAAGAGCGGAAAGGTGGACTAGGGACGGGTTGGAGCGGATAGCGATCAACTGTGAAAGATTTCCCGAAATACCAGTAATGATAGCTTTCGTTAGGGCACTATAGTATTAGTGATAGAAGTATAGATACCATGATCTTTTCAATTTTTGATTCTCAACGTTAAGAACTTCAGTTCTATAGAGCTCTTTGACAGTTTGTAGACTCCACAACAGCCTCTCACGCCTTTTGGGTATGTGCTTGATTACGCACATCAAGGATGGGATGCCAGTAAAGTAACCTGTGTCGAATACCACTCAAGTGCGGATGCCTTTCAGACCCTCCTACCCGTGAATGGTGCTGTAACAACGCTAAAAAACCACACAGAAGCTCAAATGCCCCGCTCATTAGCCTTCCATCAAGCTGATCGCACGGGTCCATCCTAAACAAGTTACAGAGAATAATGCATGGAAACAAGCGTGCCACACGATCGCCACTCTGGGTACTGTATGAGTTGGGCTGAGAGAGCATCAGCTAACTTCCGCTTGTCCCCTCCCCTTCCCCAAATTCTTGACGACTGAAATCACGCATTTATACACGTGTACCAGCTGCGGGAAGATATACATTGGCTGGTTGAAGATGGCTTTGTTGCAGAGATGGGCGAACACGTCACGACTAGTGGGGTGGAGAGCAGGTACAGACTGTGAAGTACGAGAAGGATCTGAAAGGGAGGTATAGTGATAGTAGAGACTTGAGGTGATGACCCTGTTTGTTGGTAGGTATGCTTGTGAGAAAATCAAGAACGGTGGCTGAATATGTGAAGCTGTCCAGTAAATAGTAGTTTTATGCTGGTCTGGGAGGGCAGCAAAATGGGCCGCATCTTCAAGTTGTGACCCTACGAGTACTACAGGGGGGCATTAAATATTGTTGGGCTGGTGCTAGTAGCGACTAGTTATGATACAGCGCCACACAGTCCGATTGGCTCTGAACTGATCCCTTGGCGTCCTCTGTATCACTGGATTTGTGCGATGATAAAGCTAACCAAGTGAAAATTACTCTTAAAAAAGTTTAGATAGACAATATAAGTGGAAAAATCTGTTGTGCTTCTCTAGGCAAATGTTTTGAGCTTTTTTTATTGAAGAAATGGAGAAATAAAGATCATTAGATAATCTGTAAAACAGCTGTTTCGGAGCAAGCTTCCTAGCGCCAGCCTAACGATATTTATGTTCCCCCTTGTAGTACTGGCTCTCAGGGCTACTAGTAGTTCAGACAATTTCATTGGTGTTTTGTGAATTAGACTGCCTTGGCGCATCTTGGCAACAAAGTATATCAACCAATGATTCATTTTCCTGATGCGGCGTTTTTGTAAAGCTATATATAAAATTGATAGTCAAATTTATCCTCATTGAGCGCAGATGGTTCAGTGGCAGAATCTACCGTTGCCATCAAACTCGGTAGGACTCGGGTTCGATTCCCGATCCGCGCAGTATTTTTGGCTCTTTGCTTTATCAGGTTTATTGTTTTTGTGTTTTTAATGGTTGGGAATGACACTTTATGTTCTGAGTGGTCAAATGGCTGATTGTGATGTGCTGGAGTGTTTGGATAGCTCTGGGCCACATTTCCGCCTTTGGTTTGGCAGGCAGAGAAAACATTTACAAAAGGACAAGAATTGTTTCCCTTCTGTTATTTGAACTCGAAAGAGCTTTGCAAGATTAGCAATAGTATGAGATGAATGCTGACTAGTAGCCACCAGGATTATTCAGGACTTCTCTGTTCTGTTTCATTTTCCACTTCCTTCCCGGTCTTGGTCTTATACCTTCTGTCTTCTTTCCCTTGAGAACGACGGTATGCAGTTTTCCTCTGCTATACACGAAACTCAATACGTCTCTGTTCTCATTCCCTTCTTTCACGGCAGAGAGTCACCCAAAATCATGGCTGGTACGTGAAGGCACGAAGAAGGAACACTGCAGCTGAGCGCAGAATCCATCTGACCTTCAAGTATGATAATGGTCTGGTGTACGTTGCCAGAACCAATGCAGGACCTTCAGGATGTGTGCGCAACACGAGCATCGCTCAAAGATCTTCGTTTGCGACCAAGGTCATGTTGGAAGACCATATTTTCGCGCATCTCCTCGAGAATTTTCTCCAGTATAGGTCCGAGCTATGTGGCTTGTTTCGCCCGGCTATCATACAATAACGTCAATTTGGGCTTTTCCAACACTCAAAGTTGTCTCTCTTTTGCTCTTCTGCGTCATGCCACTTCGGCCTCTGTGCCGAATCTGCCTCGCTGTCCAAGGTCTCCGACTCGCTAAGTTTCAGCAAACCTCATTGGTATGAGAGGTCTTCCCTTCGCTCCAGAAGGTTGAATACTGGGACAGCGCTTCAACCAGATCAGTGAAGTAGCTTGCCAAGAACGCCAAGCAGCGGAGATGTGTCATCCCGCCCAATAGGGAAACTGTCTTTCTACCAGATCGGTATGGCTTGCGCAAATTTCTACCCTCCTGTACCTGCATCTCTACTTATATCACGCTCATCTTATCAACTGCCCTTTTCGAGATTCGTCTTTGGCAGCATGCCTCCCGTCCTCCCGCCATTCCCTCACGTGCTCTTCGGCATCGTCGAGCCGATCCTCATGTACGCTGACACAAACTCTTTCAACATCGAGCCCCCAATTCAACATCTCCTTCGAATATATTTCCTTCACTATCTACCCATCCTTCTCACACCCTTCCTACCCACCCCTCAAACGGATTCCGTTCCATGAAACTAAACATCCCCCCTCCATCCTCACGCAGGCTCTCAGCCGTCCCCCTAATCTTCCTCAACCCGTCTTCCTTCCTCTCCCAACTCGTGCCCAACTCCAACACCTCATCGACCACCACTCCACTACCAGCAAACACAACCCTCGCTCTGCACCAATTCGCCAACCTCGCCCTTCTGATCGGCGTCACACAAGCGCTGATCTGTTTCCGCTCATCCTCGGCTTCGCTCGTACGCCCCTATCTCGGCATGCAGGTAGTATGTGACGTCGTGCATTGGGTTGTGTGTGTGCGCGTTCTGGGAAGGGAGGGGGTGAGTACGGAAGTTCACTCATTGTTATGATTCAGGATGCCTTTTGTTATGTTCCGTTGTGGGATTCGCGAATCGTGTGGTGTATATCTTATTTTTCTGGAGAGATCGCCGAGCTGTGGGTCTGTCTGTCTGGCTGGCTCACTATAGGGATTGCGAAGATGTAACGAGGGCTTCCTGTGCCCCCAGCTGCTCGGCCTTGCTCAGAGTTCTACCCTCCATCACTTCCTGATTCCTTCCTCCCTCTCTCTCTCTCTCTCTCTCCTCTTCTCCTCTTCGTTTCCAGACCGTGCAAAGCTTGGTATCAGCTAACCCAACCCCCTTTCCCCCCTTCTCATCCACAGGTCCTCAACCCACGCACTTGGAACACTCTCACCTACGCGAACCTGGTGGCCGGTCCGACGATCGCTATCCTCAGACTACTCACTCTAAGAGGATGGTTTGGGCAGATTGGAGTCCGGAATAACAATGGAAGTGAGAAAGCAGGCAGGCAGTGTAAATGTGAGGAGGAGAACAGCGGGCTGAAGAAGTAAGCGAGCAGGCGAGAGTTCTCAAGTCGGTTTACATGGTTGATGGCCCATGGCGATGGAGGATTGCATTGGTCGGGCGTGTTTTGGGCTGAGGGCGGATGGACCGACATAAAGTGGTGAGGAAGTCAGTTTGGGGTGATGGATGTTTAGGAGTAGCGTACAACACTACTAATAATGATAGAAGAAATAAATACACCGCTCAGTCACTATCATCAGTTCCTGATCTCTACTTCCAGAGGTAAGGAAAAGGAAAGAGCGAGCGAGGCCCGAATCGTTCGACTCCTTATAGGTTGTAGGGGGCAAAAGACTCAGGGGAACAAGGTGGCATGGCAACAGCGGTGGATTTTGGATTCCGCATTGGGAAATGGGGATGCCTCTCTGGGTAAGCGTTGTTAATCCAGGATGAGCAACCATGCTTCAACATAACTAGGCGAAAAGGAAAGGGGTCACATAAATACACCCTACTGCATTTTGGATATTCCATGTTCACATTGCTGGCTCCGTATTCTATCATCAAAGCGTTCTATTTTCGCGCCGTCGACCTATCAAGATGAGCTCACCTCTAAGCGGAGACAGACATACACAAGCAATCCACTCTCCCTGATCGCGCCATCACCCCCGCTATGCATATCCCTCCCGTTCTCATCGAATTCGTTTCTGGGACCACGAATCTGGTAGCAACTCCCTCTCACTTCTTCTCATCCACCGGCTCCTCCACACTGTCTGGCTTGACCGCCTCACCGTCTGCATCCTTCATCTCCGTATCCTCAGGCTGCTTCTTTGGCTCGGCAGCAGCCTTCTTGGCGTCCTCGGCCGCCTTCTTGGCCTCAGCTTCAGCGCGTTTCTTCGCCGCGGCTTCCTCTTGTGCTTTGAGGATGGCCTGTCGTTCGGCCTCAATCTTGTCTTGGTAACGCTGAATAATGGGGCCGGCGACGAACCGAATTTCATCCATCTTAGCGATGTAGGCAGCTTTGGTGGCGTCTTCACCGTCTTCGTAGAGCCAGTCCTAGAAATATGTTAGTCATACTGTGAATGATTTGTGGCAGATGTGTCTTACTTCGCTTTGCTCGAGTTTCGACCGGACCTTCTCCTTCTCCTCGTCACTGGCAAATTCGGAGTATTGATCGTCGATCTTGCCTCTCAACTCGTAAATGAATGATTCAAGCTCGTTCTTCTTGTCTTCTGTATCCGCAACTAGCTTGTCTTCCATGAACATTGAGTTCTCCTTTTCCATCAACGCATCCTTTGTGGATTGATCAAGAGAAGCTGTCCCAGCAGCGAGTGGTAGATCTCCTTTCCGGACTTGCTTCTTGATCTTGCGCATCTTAGGTTTAGGCTCTGCACTGCCATTGGCATCTGTGTCCATGGCGTCACCATCTTTCTTCTTCTCGCTATCCTTTTCTTCGGGGATGGGCTCTTCAATCTCCACGTCCTCGACGTAGTAACCCGACTCGACATTGAGAACACCATGTAAGTTCAGCCTTGCTTTGAGCTTGCAGATCATGAAGTCATCTTTTGAATCAGCTTTCACCCCTTTCACAGAGAATCGGCCAATCCATGGGTTCATCTTGCCTGGTAAAATTTCTGGCTTGGCATATCTGGCCTCAAGGTCGAAGGGCTGCTTTCGATAGAATGTAAGGATCTTGGTGGAAGGCATAACATTGCCTTTGTTGAAGACAGTAAGGCTAGTGTCCTCATCTGGGATATCGGGTGATTGCTCCCAAGTAAACTCGATGGGATAGCTGACAATATCGTGCACTGAGAAATCGCGGACACGGAAGACGGGAGAGAGAATGGCGCAGCTGAAAGCGCATCCTCTCGCAATGGCTTCATCTTGGTTCAATGTGAAAGACAAGCTCTTGCCAAAGAACTTGCTGATCCTGTCTTTCAAGGATGGAACACGTGTACAGCCTCCAACCATTTCTACCGCATCGATATCTTCAACTTTAAGTTTAGCCTCTGCCAGAGCCTGTTCGAGTGGTACAGTCGCTCTGTCAAGCAAAGGCTTAACGAGCTCCTCCAATTCTTCACGCTTCAAGAATGCTCGGACGTCTTTGTCGTCCATCAAAGACTCGATGTTGAGAGGCGCCGAGGCATTTGCGGACAGGATCTTCTTTAGTTTCTCGGCCGCAGTTGCAACTCTCGTCAACGCCTTTGGGTTCGTTTTGATGTCGATCTTGTAATTGTTCTTGAACTCTGCGGCAAAATGGTCCACCAAAGCTTTGTCGAAATTACGCCCGCCAAAATGTCGGTCATAGGTGGTTGATTTGACTGCCAGCTCGCCCTTTTTGAACTCAACGATGGAACATGTGTAATCACTGTGACCAATATCAACGAAGGCCACGCGTCGTGGCTTCTGATCTCCCTCCGGTAGATCAGACTTTGTGATACCGTAACCAAGAGCAATCGCAGTGGTGTCGTTGATCAGTCGAAGAAGTTTCAGTCCAGCAATTTCAGCTGCATCCAGCATAGCTCGCCTCTGGATGTCGGTAAACCACGGAGGGCAGCTGATCACGACATCTGAAACGGGTAACTTGAGCTCCGCGCCTGCAGTGACTTTGATCTTGCTCAAGAACATAGCAAGGAGTTGGACTGCGGTAAATTGTTCCTTCTTGCCCAGGTACGACACTTCTACTCCAACCTGGCCATTGAGATCGATCAGAGGTGCCGTAACATAATCTTGCTCACTCTGCGTGTCTGGGTCGTTGAGTGTTCTACCAACAAGGCGCTTCAGAGATCCGACGGTGTTTTTGAGGTTTGAGATTTCCTGTGTTTTCGCTGCTTCCCCAAGGTATCTGCTCTTGGGCCCGAAGCCAACAAGAGATCTAATATGCTAGAGTCAGCTGCGTAAGTGCATTGAGGAAGGGAGTCGAGCTTACGGGGTTTGGCGATTGGACACTTCATTTGTTATCTGTGATTATCAGCATCAAAGCAATATCAATATACGCAATCAACTCACGATATCTATGCCCTTGTTCCGCGCAACACCAATTTTGGTGCTTTGCGCACCCAGATCTATACCCACGACGCTCATTGCGACTGCGGTGATCGAGACTGTGTAGAATGGTTCGACGTGAGGCCGGCCGGCACGATCGCGGTTGAAGAATGTTGTGGTGTGTGGCAAAGGAGAGTAGTTTCGAGTATGCTGCCTTGTGAGCGTAAAGTTGAGGTCAAGTACACGTTGTTGATAGGGGTGGTCAAAATGAGCAAACCAAAAATTGAGCCTTGGAGCATGGAAGTTTCTTATAGGTTCTAGAAAGTAACAAGTCCGCCTCACCGGGCACCAGCCGCCGTCACAACTTAACTTCCGTGGGATTGCCTTGCGCTAACAGTCACTTGCTACCTAGCCTATAAGACTGCACGCAGTGAGTGCAGTGATTGCAGTACGTACTACGTAGTACTGTAAGTGCAGTGTACCGCAGTGCAGTGACAGTTCTTTGCCCTGCCAAGCCCAGTCATTCCATAGTACTCGGTGCTCAGCACCAGATACACATAACAGTCGTCCATGCAGACACCATCCCGTTGTCAATTGCCTCTCCGGCTGCTAGATGTTGTGTGCAGGTGACTTGCAAACCGGGTCTCATCTAGTCCTGTATTGCAACAAATCTGCTCTGACCTTCCCACCACCCCAGCATAGCGATATCCACGGAGCTGCAGGGCCCACTTCTAGTTGATCATGTCCTACATGTGCCTAGAGCTCTCTTCACAACTCTTCCCAGATGCTCTTTCAGCTACTGTCATAAGACTTACCATATCGCAAGGCGCTCTTCGCTCTCCATAGATCAAGACGAGTTCATCATACAATATTTTCAGGTGCTTGTAGCAGGCCACGCTCACTAGAATGTCTCAAGGTATCTCTCCGGCTTGATCCTTCGTTTGTTGAATTGCGCCCATTTGACTCATCACTTCTTCTGTTGTGTCTTCCTTCTTCTTCAAGCATGCTTGCTAGACGACGAGGCATTGTGATTGAATAGTCCGAGGATCCTGCAGAGTCAAAAGAGACTGGTCTGAGACGTCTTGCATGTTGCGGATTATGCGCAAGCTCTGGCATAGAGATTTGTGAGCCTTCTGGGTGGTTGTACCATTCCTCGGACGGCTTTTCTAATGAAACAAACACCTCTTCCAGCGCCGCTGAGGGTTGCAGAGCAGTGGCTTTAGGCCGACCTGGATGCCTGGCCTCGATCGCCGGTTTGAAGGTCTCAGGTATCACATTCAATTCATCTCCTGTTGCCTCGGCGATTTCGATAGCTTGTTGCGGTGTCGTCTGGGAGTCAGCTGCACCAGCATCTGCTCGAGGCCCACCCCAGGTCCGTTGACCTGCAGTGAAGATACCATACACCATGTATATCCAGTTGAAGAAAGGATTTAGGATAAACATGATAGGATATAACCAGGCTTTGTAGCGACGAATTTTGGCTCCAAAATACAACATCAGCAAATAGTTCAGCCCAAGCGATACTGCAATGAAACCAACAGGTAGGTTCTGGATCCTGTTCGATGTAGTGATGATGGATATGACCATGATGAAGAACAGCAACGCCGTGGTTCTGATGGTATTCTGCATGAAACGAACCAGACACAGCAAGGGATATCTCTTCCACAGCCGCACATCTGTCAACATACAGACTTCGTTGGTAATGAAACCAAGAAACCATCGTCGACGTTGTTTGAGCAGAGATATGAAGGTTTGTACTGCTTCGGTCTTGCAAAACGCGCTTGTACACATCTGAATCTGGTATCGTTCTTTTGCCGCAACCATGAACAAATGGGTCAACCAACGGTCTTCACCGAGATGACATTTGCCATAGTCGAATAAATCGTCGCACTGCTCAGCCTTGGGGGCGAAGTAGTATTTGGCCATTTTCCTGAATCCCGAGAAGCGAAGGATCGTGAGTGCTCCTGGTAAACAGGTGACTGAACCGCAGCCAGACTCGACAGAACGTTCGAACAATTGGCCATGTATGTATTCCATGTCCTGAAGAAGTGTGATCAGGGACTGCTTTTCAGTGGTTGATGTGATAACCCCAGTCATAGCAAGCATGTTCCTCTTGCTCCCTGGTTTTAGCTCCATTTCATACATGAAGTTCTGGACGCAGACTTTGTCAAGGATGCAGTCTGAGTCGATAAAGAGGATGAAAAGGTCGTCCTTGCGCTGCAGGTATTTCTCATATATCTTGTCGATGAGCTGAAATGTTGCCTTCTGACACTTCCTTTTCCCACCATGAGGAAAACGCGAGACCGTGATTCGTGCTCCGTTATACGATACATCAATAGATGGTGGAAACTCCTTCAACGTTACCGGTATGCCAAGTTTGTCTATCGTCGCGAGGTAGAGCTCGTCAACTTCGTCGCCGTCAAAGGAAAGAAAGACGTGGATGCAAGACGCCGGATAATCGCAGCTGACGACCGAATTGATTGCAGTGAGGAGGACTTCGGGGTTTTCCTTGTAAACGGGCATGACAACGACGGTCTTGGGTGCGATTTGCTCGTTGAGAAGGTATTTGATCTGGCGAGTGCGGCCTAAAGAACTTGTTGCTAGACGGTAAACACAAAATAACCATGGTACAATCAGCAGCAGGGCGAATGTCCAGAAAGCGAACCATTGCAGGAACTGGACCATGGTCTCAGGGAAATACTGCGTGATTACCGCGGGTAGAGGAAGAGTCACGACCATAACTGGGAGAAATATGCCTCTGCAAGGGCATCAGCCCAGCTAAGGGGATGAAAGCTCATCCTCAGGTGACCTACCTCATCGCTATAAAGGAAACGATCATGATCACAGCCAGAACTTTTTCTGACCAATGTTGCGATTTCGTATACGCCTTGCCAAGACAGTAGCAGAAAGCAGCAAGCCACAGAAACCACTCGAGAAAGGCAGCGAGCATTACCGGCCCAAGAATCGACACGTAGATGATCTGCAGGAGTGTAAGGAAAATGTACAATCGTCCAACTGGATCCGACACTCACGTCTTTATTAGCCCATGGCTGACTTGCTGGTGGTATGCCATGTTCCCACCGACTCATGGCTGCGAAAACAGTCTTGGAGGCCTTTCGGTCAGGTGAAAACGCGAGACTGCGTCCAGACCACCATGCAGGAATGAGTTGAGGTCTGTGGCTGGTTGGTATCTGGGTCTGCATATGATTTAGATGAGGACGATTTAATGAGAGTGGATGCTCTGGTTGAGATCCACAGGTGAAGAAGTACTCAGACTTGAAAGCCTACCTCACCGAAATCAGAATCGAAAGACACACGGGAAGGTAATGGAAGTAGCTCGTAGTTTTGAATGCAGCAAAAAGTCTTGAATACCTGTGCATCTCTCTTGTCCAGCTCCCAAAGTGAGCCGAACCCTCGTCCTAGGTAAGGTATCCATATGATTATCCTTTGGCAGGTAGGGTTCCCATGGTTGCTGTGTGAGTGAAGTTGGGTATAGAAGGAGCAACCAGACTGACGGCTTACTAAAGAAAGCGAACCTATGACAAGAAGCGGACTAGAAAGGTTGCGTAGAAGGAAAAGTCTTAAGACTGCGTAGGAAACGGATGGTGTGCAATGTGCAGTCAGCAACAGATAAAGGCTACGTCTACCTGCTCAAAGGGAGAAATCAGACGTTCCATGTACTCGTTGCCGAAGTCTGAAAGGGAATCGTAGACCGGAGCTTGCCGCATCTTCAGGTTGGTGGGTGATTGCTGCCGTCAATATTTAGAAAGGGATACAAGTATTACATGACTGTATGGTGGACATCTGGAAGGCAAATAGCTGGTACAAGAGATGGAGTCGGTCACGTCAGTGGCCCGCAACCACGTCTCAGATCGAACGAGAGAACACTCTCCTTCCGGGCATTCTGCGCATATGGACCCTTCTCTGTACCTGATCTTTCATGCTGACAAGTGGGTTTTGTTGACACTCGGTAGGAACTCCAACGTAGAGCTCCTGGGCTATACTAGGATAAGTGAGTTGCTGATCCTGTCGTAAGCCAACCGTGTATAGGCTGGATGTGTGAGGTCGATTTGGATCGCATTCTCCGTGCAGCTTTGCCCCTTCGTGACTGAGAAGCACATCGTACGCCTTATGAACTAGATAGTAGCAAGCAGGTGTGCCGTACGCCAATGCAAATAATGGAAGGAACACTCCTCACGCAAGACAGTGTTTGCCAATTTCCTGGGATTCTAAAGTGTGAAAAGCAATATAACAGAAGACGCAAAAGGATATGAAAAATTCTTGCTCTCAACGTGGTTCGACTTTTCACCGTAAATATCTGTACCGGGTACTCTGTACAGTCTCGAAGACTCTGGGAAAAGGGGCTGGAAGTCGGAAGAGGCAGTAAATAACTACGGCCTCCGGCGGAACCATGAACCCATCCGAGCATCTTGTGTGGAGCAACGATTATGATCACCTTCTCTTCCCACCGACAAGTCTCAATTTCATACCTCCCCTCGATGGAAGTCATATATCCAAGAAGATGGCTCCAGTAAGAGACTCAGATATCGATCCGGACCGTGCTGGACCACTTCCATCATTCATCCAAGTCGCCAAGCCATATATTTTCGAGCATACCATCCAGGAATGCATCAGATTGACCGGTGTCGCTCCAGCAAGAGAAGATCAACTTCGACTTTCAGGAGTGCAGTGGATTGATAGCGTCAGGAAGTCACTTCGCCTGTAAGGTATTGCATAGAGGTCTTGTCTGTCCAGGATTTGACATTTTTAGCCCTGTCAGGACTTTCGATACTGCTGTTGTCTACTATCACAAGTTTCGGCTCCTGCATGCAGACACAGAATACAGCTATGTCGTGAGTTGGTGCAGAGAAGCATGCTGCTACTCCAATGACTGATGGCGATACAGGATGCCGCTGCTGCTGCACTTTTCACGGCGTGCAAGATCGAGGACACGTTGAAGAAGTCCCGGGACATCATCTGTGCTGCTCACAACCTCAGACTTCCGGTCAACGAGCATCTATCCCCAGATGATACGGTAATGCTATCAGTAACTTTATTCATATTTGGCTCATATCAAGTACAGATATTCGAGATTCATTCCCGAGCCATAATTGGGCTGGAAAGGCTCATGTTGGAGGCCTCGAGCTTTGACTTCCGGAACCGCCATCCACAGCAACTCGTCATCAAGCTTGCAAAACACTACGGGATCGAAAGACATTCCGAGCTGGCCAGGACTGCGTATAAAGTCTCGCTAGATGTTTATCGGACATTTGCTCCGCTTAAGCAGACCACCGCAGCACTTGCCTTTGCGTGCCTCGAGTTGGCGGGCCGTCTTCTGAATGTCCACAATGACGCCATCGAGTCAGGCAAAGACTATGAGATCTGGCAGACATCTCGAGCAATGGTGATGGGTACGTCTCTCAAGACCTCCTCGATCAACATATCTAATGTCGATAGAAACGCTGCTCGACCTTCTGGAGCTCTACACACATTATAGAAACAACACCACAATCGGACCAGACTTCCCGGTCGACATCTTTCTTGAGGTGCGCATACCTCTAAACCAAGAAATGGACGCTAAAAGCCTACCACGATTCACCGAATGGAAAGACCACCAGAGCATGACCAACGGTGCCACCAAGGCATCCAACGGTACCAAAATCTCCCCCAAAGAGCCCTCTAACACTGCATCTCCTTCCACACCCGGCGGCATTGCCAACGGCAACAACACGCGAGGAAGAGTCGGCGAACGAGGCCGAGACGGAACAGTCCGCTTCATGCTGAACCCCGAACGCGAACAAGCCGAGAAAGAGATCGTCGCAGAATACTTCAAGCCGATCGAAGAGGAAGAGATCGAGGTGGAGGATGAGCGGAGGAGATGAGCACTGGCATGTATATGGCCTTTTGAAATGAAAAAACAAGGATTCTCTCATGCAAACGATACCCCAACTCTTACATAGCGTCCGGCGTCTAGGTAGGTAGGTAGGAAGCAAAACAAGCCCGGAGTCGGAGTCCCAATTCCAATATAGACTCCCAAATGCAGACATACGGCATGCAAATCCAGATCCAGTCCATGATTCCCTTCAGCTCCCCCGAACCCACCCAATACGCATGAGGACCCCCCGACCACCTGGCAGCAGAGTCGTAAAACACCCGCTCCATCCAAGATCCCGCACACAAAAAGACCGCCGAGCCCCCCTTCCTCTTTCCCGGAGAGAGCGAGCCTTCGAACCCCTCAGCTCGCGCGTTCTTACCACCCCATAGCGCAATCACATGTCCCCTTTGCTCGACTCGGCGGGGCGGTCCATGCAGACCGGAGGCGAAGCTTGCTCTGAAGCGCGTGCAATAACCCACCATACCATACCACACGCTCGAAGATGCTGCTAGCAAACCAACGATACGGAAGCTTTTGTTGTGATGGAAAGGGTTCTGGCTCGCAGCAGGGGACGTAGCGGATCGGGATCTCTATGTCGTGGAATTGCCGGCGGGGGAGGGGGAGGGGAGGGGAACAGAGAATGGGGAGTAGGCGCCCAAGGGAAAAAGGATACACGGGATGGATGGGTGGGGAGAGGAGAGGATGGGATAGATTCAACGTTACTTACTTAGAGCCAGGAGGTAGGGAGGGTGGATGGATAATATCACATTAATCTACCATTACGGAGATAATTCTGTCGCATCATGGCTATGGAGTCGATCATTAGCAGGTGTTTCGTTCTCCGTGAGGTAGAGGGCCTATTGGTTGGAGTTGGGAATCTTTTCTTAAGTTCGAAGTGTTGTCGTTGTGCTTCTCAGCACATGCATTTACATTTTGAGTAATATGGAACGTAAGTAATCATGAACAAGAGCTCTAAACAATCCCCTGCCCCTTTCTACTTCTACGAAGCTAATGCTTCGAACCAAAAGAGAAAACAAAACGACACCCCAACTCTCCCGCTAGAACAACCCCACCGGAGGCTTCTATCTCATAATGCACATCAAGCAAAATGATCGCCACCCTGCCTCAACCACTTCGCAACCTTCCTTTCCCTCTCTCTCCCCTGCCTCTCCAGCCGTATGTTCCTCTTCCGCTCATAAACCGCCCGCACACACCTCCTGGTCTGTTCCTTCCCTTCTTCAAAATTCGCCTTCGCCAGTGCCATCACCTGGTCGATCTGCTCAGGTGTATATACAAAATTCCACGTGGACATGAAATCTGAGGTGTCAGGATCCACGCCTGGGACTCTGGCTTCGTTGGGGAGGAAGGGGAAGTAAACTAGAGTGAGGCCGGCAGAGGGGTGCATGAGGTGGAAATTCGTTTCAGAATCGGGAGCGGTGGGGTCGAGTCGTTTGGAGGAGGGGAGGTCGGTGGGTGAGGTAGTGGCAATGCGTTCGGATTTGCTGCCGACCCAGACGGTGCAGTAGCCTAGATCGGGAGATGAAGGGTTGGTAGGGGTGCCTTTGCTGACAGCTTCGGAGGTGGCGTTGGAGGTTTGGCGCTGGGATTCACGCGCTTCGGCGACTTTGGTGACGGCTTCTTGGGTGGTGGTTGCTTGGGCTTCATCCAAGACGAGAGCGGCTTCGGCGGGTTCTATGGATGCCTTGGGCCAGCCGGCGCCGAGAGGCCAACCTTTGATATCGCGTTGGCGGGCGTAGCCGTCGACGACGGAGAGCCAGTTTTCTTTCTTGATGTCGGCTGACGCGTCAAAGGCTACAAGGATGTCAACATTCCGGCCGGGTCGGAGGAGTGGATAAATCGGGAGGTTGTTCGACATGCCTGCATCCATGAGTTGGATGTGGTCAGTTTTGAAGACTGACGCCGGGCAGGAAGGTGGAAGCTGGTTTTCCATGCCGCAGACGAAGTTGGGAATGGATGCAGGGTCAATCGGATGGATTTTGACAAGATCTTCATTCTTTCCCTCCAAAAGGTTGTCGAGGCCACTGAAGCCGGCTAAGCCAACCAGTGCAGGCTTGATCTCTTTGTAGTAGTGTGAGAGCGTCGCGCAGAAGGCGCTGCCCCATATACCCAGCATGAGAGGGATACGTATCTCGGGCAGGCCAAAACCACTGTCCAAGGTTTCATTATGGCCGTTCTTGAAGGGGCGTCCAAGTGCCCAAGTAGGAATGCCAGCGCAGAATTCTTCGCAAAATACCTCGTAGGGCGTGAATTCGAACCATTGAAACCATGCTTCTTGCTGAGCTGTCTCCTTGATTGCCTCTTTTGTGGTTGGTTGGTCATCAGCCGCTTCGACCTGGGCTTTTGCCTGCTCTACCGGTATCTCATGTCTGACAGCCGTATAGATAGGCATTGGATGTGCCCCGTCTGCCAAGTGTGCGCGCTGATTCGATAACTTCAAATCCCGTTCGGAAACTCCCAATTCGCCTTTGGGGACCAAAAATCGAGCAGCAAGGAGAAGTCCATAGATATCGACCAGTCCAAAGGCTGCGCCCGGATCGCCCTTCAGCTTCTCGATGAATCCGCTAAGGAGGTGTTTATTGGTTGGCGCGCTAGAAACAAGCTTGAATGCTGCAGGAGGAAATGCGATATGCAGGCCAATCCTGTTCTTTAGGTGGCGACATATCTTGTGGAAATTCTGCTTGCCCATGCTAGTATGATAGAGGGTCTGTAACCAGCAGCTCCCGCTCACACCTGCAGTGTAAGTGGCACAGTCGAAGAGACCGTCTTCTTGCGCCGAGAGATACGATCCAGTGCCTGCCACAAGCGCACGAAGTCCACCTCCTGACCCGCAGAGCGCAATTGTCGGCACATCTTCAGGGTCGATATCTTTCTCGTTGATGTTCAGGTACCTGGCTAATGCTGGCACCAAACGTTCTCTTCGCTTGTTCTGAAACCTCAGCTCGTCTTCGCAAAGATTGTTCGAAATTCGGACCGAAGCGTCCCACATGATTTCTGGATTGATATCCGCATCTGCTGCTTCTTGCCATATTTCGTGTGCCAAGGTGCCGGGCTCCATGGAGAGTTCAAATTGTAATTTCCTTACTTGGTCTGGTAGAAGACGAGCCCAGGTAGGCAGAATGAAATCGGTAATCTTGTTTCCCACATTTCCCCAGTCAAGTCCTGCCAAAGTCTCTCGGAAGACCTTGAAGTCGTTTGAGAAGCTCGCCCAGGCAGATTCGTCGTCGTTTTCGAAGGCAGGAGTATGAGTTTCAGGCTCGTCTTTTTCAGTGACTGGGTCTGCAACAGCATTGTTATGGTTGGCAGGGTGGCCTAGCGATTGCTGTGCGATAGTATGACGACGCTGCGGAACAAGACCATGGTCTCGTGGCCACTGAGCAGCGACTGGACTGTCATTTGATGTAGGTTGGCTTCTGTATACATGGCGATGAAGGCCAATGCTGGCTGCGGCACCAAAAATGGAATAGCGAATGCTGCGTTGGGAGAGAATTGTTCTTGCAGCGCACATGGTACATCAAGGCGCTGCAGGAAGTGTCAGCATGCAAACATATAGAAGTAATGCTGAACGCAGGTGGCGGCGAAACGCAAACCTCCATCATAGGCCTCTGATCAGGTTTCCCAACGCGACCGTTGAAATTCCGTCAAAAATCCCATGCAATGACGCGCTACTGTTCATCCTTGTCCAGATCAGCAAGGGGCCCGCCAGTGACCAACTTCAGCATAACTTGGGTGCTGTGTGGAGCTAGCCCACAAAAGGGTAAGACCACACAACCAACGATCTTGGCGTCGTCCATGCAACTCAACTCGTCCAATTCTCCAATTCTCTCAGACCTACCCTCACGATATGATATGACGAGTAAATCATTCCGGTATTTATATCTGGTGAACATCGGTATGCGGAACCTGAAGCACCGCCAGAGTTGATGGGTCGCTAGACTCTGTTGTTCCCTGTTGGACTGAGCGCTATGAACTATGATGTTATAGTGGATTGTCTCTATGATCTTACCTCTCCATCATGGTCGCGCAGGCACACAGAGAAGAGGAGGCTGAAGTGGAAGTTCTAAACGCTAATCTCACCAAGCTCAATCTCCTTACAAAGAAGATCCAAGGTTCCATCGTCCGCCTCGATACCAGCGGCCAAGTCGTCAAAGAAGCCATCGGACCTATATACAGTAACACGCAGCAGCTGCAAATCACGAACACGAATATCCTCCGTGTCAGTGAGGCTATTGAACGACTTCGTCAACCGCTAGATGCAAAGGGGCGAGAAGAGGGTGTGATCCGTGCTGGTCCTGCAACCGCTGGCCTTCAGCAGTATCTAGGGGCCTTACAGCGAGTGGATCATGCATTGACAGATTTAACAAGCTCCAACTTGAGATCCAATCAGCAAGCCATTGCTGATTTCAACAAGCTGCTTGCTTCTGGAAGTAGCCAGCTTCAGGATCTTTTTCGACAAGCGTTGCAGCAAGATGCGCAACCCGTGGAGCCTTTACACTATATCACCAAGGGCCTGGAGTTCCCAACCATTCCGGATCAAGAACTCTCTCAGCTCAAGCCAACTGCTGCTGCAATCACATCTGCCTATACGAAATCATCACGTTCTGCTAAGCGCGACGAAAACCCGGCAATACGGGTTTATGCAGAGATCAGAGGACCGTATCTTAGCAATAGTCTGCAAAACTTGGCTACGGCATCGATCAACACCTCCACTAAAAGAGGCCAGGATGCTGGCATCTACAGAGAAGGCACAAGCGGTATCGGAGCATATGCGAACGGTCTGGAAGGAATGATTACTGCAGAAGCTGACAATGTCTCCAAAATCTTCCCGACCAGCGAAGTAGGGCAAGCGATAGAAGCGACTTGCCAAAATGCCATGGCAGTATTTGCGAATACACTGATGGAGCTAAATACGTTCATCAAATCACGGATTTTGACCGACTGCTTCCTCGCGTTCGAGATTATCGACCTAGTCACGCCCATTTCCTACCGCCTCGAGACACGCACTGGCGCTAGACTTAAATCCCAATTTTCTGATGCTCTTCGTCCAATAAGAGAGACCGCCCGATCGTCGGTTTCTGAACTTCTTGAGCAGACCCGCCAAAAGGCATCCGCCGTTGCTGTTCTGCCCAACGATGGTAATACCGTTCCCCTGGTCTCCGAAACAATGCAACGCATCTCCACCCTATCTGTCTACTCTCAACCTCTCCAAGCCATTCTCTCCTCCATTGGCGATGGCAAGTGGCGCATAGCCTTGACCCCCACCCTCGAGCCAACCACTACCCCGTCCGCCATTGACTCCACAACTCTCGTATCCAATTACCTCACTGACTTTCTCGATACCCTTCTCGCCAACCTGGAAACCCGCGCCAAAGCCTTCCACCGCAGCAAATCCCTCCAGGGCTGCTTTCTCTCCAACAGCTACGCCATCGTTGAGCGCTCCATCCGCTCCTCCCCCGACCTCTCCCGCCACCTCACCAGCTCCCCCACCCACGTCGCCCGCCTCGACACCTG